AACAAGACAAAGATGGAGAGAAAGAGAGGGAGAGACACACAGAGGGAGAGAGTAAGAGAGAGGGGGAGAGGGGGGGGGGAAAGAAAAATCCTGCCACTGCGATTCAGGATCGATTTGACTTTCTTCCACCAAGAAACTTTGAAATCCATTGAAATTTAGCTATTCTTCTTCAAATTCTTGATTATTTAGATCATCCATCTGTTAAAGTTCATATCTCCCGAAATTATTTCCTCCCTAAATGGATCGCAGTTGGATCGCGTAAGGCACACCGCACATTGCACGATCGTCCTGCGATTTCGAAGATTGTATTTAGACGCGGATCGAGGAACTTTGGCTAGGGGAAGGGGGAAGGCACAATGAAAGACGGACAGAAGCGGCGCGTCAGGCTTGCGTGGACAGGGGGGTGTTTGAGAGGGAATGTGCCCCCCCCCCTAGTTGAAGAAAAATTTAATTTTCGAACTCATTTAACGCGATTTGGTGTATACTTTTTATCAACATTTTATTTTTTAATTTTTGGCTTTATTATTTATGTACAGTTGAAAAGAAAACTTGTGAATATTTTTAACAACGGTTCTGAATTCCTGACCATATCAGAAAACTAGGACTGAATCGTAGCTGGATTTGGAGTTTTCAAAATTGTATGTCATTTGACCGGTCCATGTCTTAAGCTGAATTTATACACTCCAAACGCAACGGTACGTGCGGTACACTGCTTTTTGCTTGCCGATATATCGTTTTGTTGTGCCGCAACTCACCGCAACTCACCGCAAAGTCATCGCATTTCAAGTTAAAATGGATTTGAACTTTATTGCTCTCTTCATCATAGCCTCAAGTCAAGTGTACTCTTCGGAAAACATCCACTCCTGAAAATTAACACTAATCATCACGTAGATCAATTTGAATCTTCAAAGAATTAATAATTCGTCAGCCGATGCTATGGTAACGAATAAATGCATCAATATGGTCATGTAATGTTGAGGTATGAAAACATGACTGCTCAGGCTCTGTGTAGGCTTTTAGTGAATATATATTTTAATGTTAAAACATTAGTGTGATTGATACGAACTGTTACGTGCTCAAAAAGAGATAACTTTATTTTCGTTCCCTTTGACATGTGTCCCAAACCATAGCCTGTGACAACTTTAAAAATAGGACCAAGGAAGGGAGCAAATATATCAATATGTGGCATTGTGGCAGTGGCGGATCCAGGGGGGGGGGGGGGGGGGGGGGGGGGCCCGCCCCCCCCCTGGCAAAAAAAGGAAATAAAAGCGAAAGATATCAATGGTATCAAAATATGCTCATCTGACCTTAATTAAATGCCTAAAACCCCTTGACTTCCGTGGGCTCTGCTCCCTAGACCCCACCTAGGGCCGCCTGGATGATAATCTGACGGTAATTTAATGCTTAAAACCCCTGAGCTTCTGGGGTCTCGGCCCCCAGGACCTCACGCCAATTAGTGTCCTGCCAGTGTCATAAGGTATCAAAATATGTGCATCTCACCGTAATTAAATGCCTAAAACCCCTAAGTTTCCGGGGCTCCACCCATTCGACCCCACCAGGGGCCCTAAGGCGGGGCCCTTGGGCGGGCCCCTGCATGCTTGTCTGACCGTGATCTATTGCCTAATACCCCTGATCCTCCGGGGGCTCCGCCTCCTGGACCCTACGCCAATTCGTGACCTGTCAGTGTCACAAATAAGGTATAAAATTATGCTCATCTGACGATAAATTGATGTATAAACCTCTGAGCTTCTGAGGGCCACGCCCCCTGGACCAAACATGTGTCCTGCCAGTGTCACAAATAAGGTATTATAATATGCTCTTCTGACAGTAATTTATTGTCAAGAACCCCTGAGCTTCAAGGGGCTCTGCCCCCTGGACCCCACTCCAATTCGTGACCTGCTAGTGTCACAAATAAGGTATAAAATATGCTCATCTGACGATAATTTAATGTAGTAAACCCCTGAGCTTCTGGGGGCTCCGCCCCCTGGACCCCACTCCAATTCGTGACCTGCCAGTGTCAATAAGGAATAAAATATGCTCATCTGACGATAATTTAATGTATTAAACCTCTGCCAGTGTCACAAATAAGGTATCATAATATGCTCATCTGACAGTAATTTATTGCCAAGAACCCCTGAGCCTCCTGAACCCCAAGCCAATTCGTGACCTACCAGTGTCACAAATAAGGTATAAAATATGCTCATCTGACGATAATTTAATGTATAAAACCCCTGAGCATCTTGGGGCTCCGCATCTGGATCCCACCCCAATTGGTGACCTGCCAGTATCACAAATAAGGTATAAACCTCTGAGCTTCTGAGGGCCATGCCCCCTGGACCAAACACCAATACGTGTCCTGACAGTGTCACAAATAAGGTATAAAAATATGCTCATCTGACCGTTATTTATTGCCCAAAACCCCTGGGCTTCCGAGAGCTCCGCCCCCTGGACCCCACGCAATTCGTGACCTGCCAGTGTCACAAATAAGGTATAAAATTATGCTCATCTGACGAAAATTTAATGTATAAAACCCTTGAGCTTCTGAGGGCTCCGCCCCCTGGGAAAAAACCCCGTGTAAAAACACTTTAATTTTACCTTTTTTTTCACTGAGCTAAATATTAACCGGCACGATTTTGGCCCCCACCCCTAAGAAATCTTGGATCCGCGCCTGCATTGCATTGTGGATCATTCAACAAGACATGGTGCAAATGAACAATACGGATCACTACACTTATTTACAGTGAACTTTATTCTGCCTGTATACACTTGGTCTTAGATAGCCTATAGTATCTTGATCTTTATTTGTTTAATTGACCATTATATACATAGCACTCGTCCACCGGCATATACGTAAAGCACTTCGAACAGGTCTACACTGAACATTATATATTTACTGCACGAAGGGACGTTCTTTGAATTTGTTCTGCATTGGATTGGGTAACATAATCAGCATCTAGCTAGCTTCGTCATCATAATTATATTAAGGTGCTTGATAGGCCGGTTGATAGGTGAAATATATGAACTTTCTTTAGCATCAGAATAATTTGTTTGCCGTCCAGCATCAAATATATAACGACATGTTTCAGAGCAAGCTTGTGACAATTTGTATAGGAATCGCACTTGGCATTTGTTTTGCGATCTCTACCAGTTATGTCTTCAAACAGAACATTTCGATCTTCAAGTTCAACATCCCGCCAGATCTGCCGGATTGCGAACGCTTAATGTTTGTCTTCCGGTGCCTTGCTTTCTCTGCCTTGCCCCTCCTGGGTGCCGTTTTCAACGTTCTCCGCTTTCGAGGCACGAACTTGGAAACCCTGGGAGCCGACCCCATAGCACCTGTGGCTCATTCTCTCAGGGGCTTTAAGACTTCCGAGAGGATTCTGCAGAACACTCTTGAGCAGTCTGCTCTGCATGTATTCGCAGTCTTGGCTCTTGCTTCGTGCGTTGATGTGGACCAGCTCTATATCATCCCGTGCCTGGTCCTGCTATTCAACATTGGACGCCTTTCATTCGCTGTTGGATACCACTACAATCCTCTCTACCGTTCATTTGGATTCGCTGTTACCTTCCTTCCAACCATGGCTGGATTCGCCTATGGTCTCTTCACCATTCTATCCCGTGGACTCACCATCTAATTGATCTTCACACATAACATGCTTAGATATTATAAACCAATCATTGTGGAAAGTTAGTACATGTATTCGTGATTTGTTGATACTTGAAGGTAGAACATTGTGATTATTTTTTTTACTTCCCGTTGCCATTGATAGAATCACTCATAATGCAGTCGATATAGAAAAGAACCCTAAAACATAATAGTAGTTCGGGGGAAGTGCAAACATTACTTTCTCCAAGCATTTAAATCAAAACTGCTAAATGATTCGATCAACTTAAATTACAACGATATGATATGAATTCTTTGAAGTAAATTTGTCAATTAAATTACTGACTTGGTATTTGCATGAATTTACGAATCTTTGGTTTATGTTCCGAATTTTCTCGTAAAAGTAATAATATTAACCGTTGTGTAGCGCAAATAGTAATAATAAAATCATTTATGAGATTTTTGAAGCATTTTTACTTAGGATTACTTAGGCATTTAATAAATTGTTTTTAGCACAAATTTCGAATCATTTTTTAATACATTATATTTTCAAATTAAAACCTTGCCTTTTCATCTATTCTCTGTGGTAATAAGTGTCTTATGAAAATAATGTTAACAAAGAAAGGTAGAAAATCAAGAGAGATGGCTAAATAGGAATACACAAATAATTAAATGATGAGGACAAGAGAGAGAGAGAGAGAGAAAGAGAGAGAAAGAGAGAGAGAGAGACTATAGAGAGAGGAAGGGGGAGACAAAATTCTGCCACTGCGATTCAGAGCCGATTTAACTTTTCTTCCACCAATAAAGTTTGAAATCTCTTGAAAGTTAGATTTTCTTATTGAAATGATTATTCAGATTCTCGATTATTTAGATTATCCATCTTTTAATCTTCATATCTCCCCAAATTTGTGACTTAAATGGATCGCAATTGGATCGTGTAAAGTCGAAAAGCACACCGCACACCAATAGGGACTTTTCGATTTGCACGACGAGAACGTGGACGTCACATGTGACTGTCAGTGCCAGGCGCGTACGCAGGGGGGGGGGGGGGTTAACCCCTCCTTGAGTTTTTTGTATGTGTATGTTTTCTGTCAACCCAACCCCCCCCGTTTTTATTTATTTTTTAATTTTTTTTTTAAATAAAAAAATAAAAAAATAAAAAAAATGCCAAGGCTGACCTAAAATAGGTGACCTTATTCCTCCCCCCCAACGGAACAAAATGTCAAATGTCAAATTTCGAGACCCCCCCCCCCCAAAAAAAAAAAAATGTCCTCTTACCCCCCCCCCCCCCCCCCCCCCCCCCCCCCCCCCCCCCCGCTTATTCAGCGGCTGGCTGAGTCGTTGCGAAATTTTTGGCCCGATTCTAAACTCCCCCCCCCCCCCACCTTGAAAAAATCCTGCGTACGCCACTGGTCAGTGCCTTACAAGAAAGTCACATGTCCACGTCCACGCAAATCGAAAATTCCCTAATAATACACATGACCTGAACCTTTGATCCATGATACCTCGGTCACACCACCAAACCCCGCACCAAACTTCACACCGGTTCGGTGTGTGATAGTCTGGTGTTGGTTTCCTTGGTGTGAGTGGGGCATAGTGCATTGCACCTCCGCTGTATGTATAATGGTCTTGTTTATTTTGGCATGGCCTATCGGACATGACATACTGTCGTCTGCAGCCTATGAAGTTTGAAGCGTTTTGTTCATCAGTACAGCATGCATATATAAAGCGGAATCGCAAATTTCTGCTTAGTTCATTATATGCACGATTACGGTTGCCTCCGATCCTGTAGACATTCAGGAATCAATATACAGTCCATATAGAGTGGAAGCTTGACATCATTCCTTCTTAATGTTACTTTGAACTAACACTCAACATGTTCAGTAGCAAGCAATGGACAATTATGATACAGGTATCAGCGAGCGCGTGTTTTGTGATTGCTGTTCGCTATGTCTTCAAAGAGAACTTCGCAAGCTTCCCGCCAGAGCTTTCTGATGGCGAACGTTTCAAATTTGTCTTTCGCTGTCTGGCCTTCTCCTCCCTGCCTCTCTTTGCCGCCGTGAGAAAAGTCGCCAGTGTCAGATTCTCCAACATGGAGACCCTTGGTGCGGATCCCATAGCTCCTGTAGCGCCCTCTCAGAAGGCCTTCAAGATTGCCGAGAGGGTTCTGCAGAACACCCTTGAACAGACCCTGCTGCACGTAATGACGATCTTGGCACTCGCTTCGAGCGTCGTAGTGGACCAGCTCTATATCATTCCGTGCATGGTTCTGCTCTTTTGCATCGGTCGTTTTGTCTACTACGTTGGGTACAGCTACGATCCGTTGTACCGGGGTTTTGGATTCGGGACAACCTGGATACCTACGTTGATTGGTTTTTCCTACGCTCTCTTCATCATAGCCTCACGTGCACTCTTCGGATAACATCCTCACCTGATAAACATTGAAAATAATTACCACGTTGATCACTGGCAATTTGAAACTTTATAGAATTAATAATCTTAATGCGCGGCTCGTCAGCCGATGCCATGGTAACGAATAAATGCATCAATAGAATCATGTAATGCTGAGGTATAGAAACATGACTGCTAATGGCTCTGTGTAGGCCTACAGTGAATATATAATGTTAAAGCATTATTGTGATTGATACGATCTTTTACGAGCTCAAAAAAGATAACTTAGATTCGTTCCCTTTTCCGTGAGTCCCGAACCAAAATTGTGACAACTTTAAAAATAGAACTAGGAAGTGATCGAGCAAATTGTGGTTAATTCTACAAGACACGGTGCAGATTATATACAGATCACTTCACTGAATAATTCACAATGAGCTTTATTCTGCTTGAATACACTTAATCTTAGATAGCCTATAGTATCTCGATCTTTTTTTGTTTAGTTGACCATTATATACATAGCACTCGTCCACCGGCATAAGGATACGTACACTTTGAACAGGTCTTTACACTGAACATTGTATTTTACTACACGAAGGTAATTCATACGTTCTTTGAATTAATTCTGCATTGGATGAGGCAACATAATCAACTTCTGCGTCATCATAATTGTATGGTCCTTGATAGAAATTGATATATGAAATATATGAACTTTTTTTAGCATTACTGTAATTTTGTTTGCCGTCCAGCATCAACTAACGACATGTTTCAGAGCAAGTTCGTGACCATTTGTATAGAAATCGCAATTGGCATTTGTTTTGCGATCTCTACCAGTTATGTCTTCAAACAGAACATTTCGATCTTCAAGTTCAACATCCCGCCAGATCTGCCGGATTGCGAACGCTTACTGTTTGTCTTCCGATGCCTTGCTTTCTCCGCCTTGCCCCTCATGGGTGCCGTTTTCAACGTTCTCCGCTTTCGAGGCAAGAACTTTGAAGCCCTGGGAGTCGACCCCATAGCCCCTGTGCCGCATTCTCTCAGGGGATTCAAGACTTCCAACAGGATTCTGCAGAACACTCTTGAGCAGTCTGCTCTGCATGTATTCGCAGTCTTGGCTCTTGCTTCGTGCGTTGATGTGGACCAGCTCTTTATCATCCCGTGCCTGGTCCTGCTATTCAACATTGGACGCCTTTCGTTCGCTGTTGGATACCACTACAATCCTCTCTACCGTTCATTTGGATTCGCCGTTACCTTCTTTCCAACCGTTGCTGGATTCGCCTATGGTCTCTTCACCATTGTATCCCGTGGACTCACCATCTAATTAATCATCACACATAGCATGCTTATATATATTATTAAACCAATCATTATAGAATGTTACTAAATGTATTTGTGATGTCTTGATACTTGAAGGTAGAACATTGTGATTTTTTTGATTTTTTACTTCCCGGTGCCATTGATAGAATCACTCATAATGCAGTCGACATTAAAAAAAAAAAAAAACTTAAAACATAATAGTAGTTCGGGGAAGTGCAAAATGACTTAGTCCAAGCATTCAAATCGAACTGCTAAATGGTTCGATCAAATTAAATTACATCAATGTGATATCGAATTCTTCGAAGTATTTTATAAATAAGCTCATTGTACAGATTGACATTTCTCAATTTGTCATTTAAATTACTGAATTGATATTTGAGTTTACGAATCTTTGGTTAACGTTTCGAATTTTCCCGTAAAAGAAAAGTAATAATATTAACGGTAGTTGGGTAAGGCAAATATTAATAAAAACATCGTTATGGGATTTCTGAAGCATATATTAATAACTAAGGCATATTTTATATATTGTTTTTCAGCAAAACTTTCCAATTAATTTTAAATACGTTATATTTTCAAATTAAAAACTTACCTGTTCATTTACTCTCTGTGGTAATAAGTGTCTTATGAAAATAAATTTAACTAAGAAAGGTAGAAAATCAAGAGAGAGGACAAGAGAGAGAGAGAGAGAAGGGACAAGCAGTGATATATGACAAGAGAGAGAGAGAAAGAGAGATAACGGAAACGCAGAGAAAGGAAATAGAGAAATAGAGAGACGGTTAACAAAGGAAGACAAAATAATATGGAGAGAAAGAAAGAAAGAGAGAGAGAGAGAGAGAGAGGGGGGGGGGGGGGGGGAGACAAAAGCCTGTCACTGCGATTCAGAGCGATCTAACTTTTCTTATTCTTACTTGTTATGACTATTCAGATTCTCGATTATTCATGTTTTAATCTTCACATCTCCCCAAATTTTTACCCTCAATAGGCCATTTTCGTAATTTAACCACATTTAATGCATACGTCTTTGTGAAGTGCCTCAATACAAATTATTTCATTCACCTGATAAGAATAATAGTATTTCAATAGACAGAATTCGAACTGCATACATTAGTTGTTGCCAGGAAGGACAAACATGGGTTGACCTATCTAGCAACACTTAATATATGCAGTTTGCATTATGACTATTGAAATACCATTATTCTTATCAGGTGAATGAAATAATTTGTATTGAGGCACTTCACAAAGACTTATGCATTAAATTTTGTTATATTACGAAAATAGCCTATTGGATCGTTGAGGACCAGCCATAAACGAAATACTTCATGCATGGCTGATTGTCAACGAAACGGACTTAAATCTTTTGCCAATTCTGTTTGTTGCTACGGCGGGCAGCCAGTGAAAACGAATTCGTTTTTTAAATCAAATTATGGAAATGCAAACATTACTTTAAACAAACAGAACTTTGTTATTCCTGGCTCATTTTTCCTGATTGAGGTGTCATATGAAAGGGCAGATGAAATTAAACTCTTCCAGTCAGAGCAAAAGCCGATTCGGCTTCAAGACGTAGACACTAGACCCAGGCGCGGATCCAGGATTTCTTAGGGGAGGGGGCCCAACTTTTTTTTTTTTCTTGCTCCCGAAAATTCCGCCACTGACTAGACCAGGCCTTCTCAACTGGCGGCGCTTTCGGTCAGTCGGAGTGGCGCGCGACTGTTTTAACAACATAAAAACAGAAAGAAAGAAAATATAGGCCTATATTTAAGAATTAAATACTCAGCTAAATCAAGAAGTCGCAGTCGAATTTGAGCCCAAAATGCCTGCTTAACAAACAGGAAGAAAGGGGAATTTATCGTTTATTACCATTTCATACTACTCTAAACCTAAGCTCTGAACAACAATTAGCTTGCCAATCTCTGGAAACATCTTGTTTTTGCTTGTTTGATTTTCACTTTTATTTATTTGACATTTCCCGTGTTTATAGCACAAGAAAATACTACATATAAATTTACCTACAGTGTAATTGAACCCGGGAATTGTACTAATTTTTTAACATCAATATGAAATCATGATTGATTATATTGTGGAATGAAATGATGTTAAAAAATGCCCCATTTGGGCCTTTACAAAGCCCTGAAATCCACCAACGCTTCACGGGGCTCCGCCCCCTGCACCCCCATTGGGATTTTGCCCCTGGACCCCACCCGTTTTCGGCTCAGTCAAACATACAGGGTGGCACTTCAACTACAAATTCTTTTTGTTTTGGCACTTCTAATAAACTAGTTGAGAAGGCCTGCACTAGACAATAGGGACTTTTAGATTCGCGTGGACTGATACGTGTGACGTCCATTCAAGGCAGTGCATTAAAAGGACGTCGACCGTAGCAATCCCCATTGTCTTCGTACGAATCTAAAATTCCTAATTTCACTTCTAATCTGAGCCGATTTAGCTTTTCTTCCACCAATCCATTGAGATTTTGATTATATTATTCATAGGACCATTCGGATTCTCGACCATTTAGAGTTAACCATGCATGTTTGAATGTTCATATAAAATGCTATCGCAAATTCTTCCAAAATCGGACCGCGTTAGTCAGGGCGGATCCAGCCGGCGGCAAGAGGGGGGGGGGGGGGGGGGGGGGGGGGGGGGGGCAAATCTTAGAAAATATTTAGCGGCGAATCAGCCAGCTGGGCTTCAGACAATGTGGTATCAGCACAGTAACATCGGGTATTTTTATAGAGGCATTCCAAATGACATTCTGTATTCATAATATACGCATAATACAACTGATCTTTATTATTTCTTAACGGTGACATATGGCTTCTTCTCCCCCTGCAAACAAAAAAGAAAACAAACTTATTTAATAAAAGGATCATGCGACAAATAATTAATGTGATTCAAATTGATGCAAAGATTTTTGAATAAGCAATGCTTTTCACCAAAATCTTCTTTGTAAAAACGACTTTTAAAAATCTCAGCTAATTCTGCCACTGTGCTGTAAGATCACTTTTAGATTCGGCGGAGAAGTGTATTCTTTAATGAGTATTTTAAATTGAATGGAACGTCTCAACTCAGTAAGCATGGCTGAGATTTGTAAAAGTTGTTTTTACAAAGAAGAATCTGGTGAATAGCAGCGCTTATTCAAACAAATATTTGCATCAATTTGAATCACAATCATTATTTTTCGCTTATTCCCTTTTAATGATCTTGTGCAAGAGAGGGGGGGGGGGGGGGGCAAATCTTGAGATGGGATCTTTTGGGGGTGGGGGGGGGGGTGTTATTATTATTATCATTTTTTTTGTTTGGGGGGGGGGGGGGGTCAGAACGGCTGCTTTAAAACAAAATCGAAAGTAAAATTCACGTTACTACCCTATTTGTTTACCGGTTGGGAGGCTAAGGGGGGGGGGGGGGGGTGGGCCGGTAGAATCGATCCGTGGATCCGCGCCTGGCGCTAGTCGCATCTTGTAATGTGCGCTAGGCCTTTAATTCACATGCTCATATATTTTGTCTCTCAATAGACCGGTTTACTAATATATTCTATTTCTATGCATACTTTTTAAACAAAGGTTGTGTTTCACAACCTGAAAACTTGCCCGAGGTTTGCCCAATATAGCAACACGTAATGTATGTAGACTGGATTCATTCTTTCATTAACAGGTTGATGGAATAGCTTGTATAATATCCAGTAATCCATAAATTTAAACATGTTAGTAAACCGGTCTTTTGAAGATCCCACTCAATCTTTCTCTTGCAGTTTCGTGCTAGTTTTACATCAAATTTTGGCTGTCCAGAACAAGGATCTTATTCCATATTTTGGCCCAAAGAATAAACTAATTCTTAGGATTTCCCTATATTTCTATTGACAGAACAAGAAGAAGAGACAATATAGAAATCCCTTTCTTGGCCCTGTCTTCAAACTATTTCTCAAGTTTAACACAATACTTATGAGAGGGAATGGAGAAAAACGGGTACCTACATGTAATACTGTTCAACTTCAAATACAGGGAAAGAGATGAGTGAACACACAATTAACCTATATACTGGCAGGTTTTACAACACATGATCCTCTACAACAAGTGCTCTGCATTCAAAATTTTATTTAGACTTTAACCGTAGACCAAATCCTAACTTTAAACCTAACCTAAATTCCCAATTACAACACGAACCCTAACCTTAGAGGAAGTAGAGCCAAGAGTAATTGTTGGTGGAGCGTATATCTGAGCTCTCCAGGAAGCCAACAAACATCACAACTGCACACATTCAACAGCACGTCTAACAAATTTATCCGAGATATTTATGGTATCATCTATTTGGAGCCAGAAGGACGTTTACTCTGTGTTAAAGTATATGAGTTATTGCCCTTTTGGCTCAAACAGATGATATGTGTGGTATGATATGTCACATAAAAAAAAAAATGTTAAAAAACACTTCTTTCCAGTTTATGAAACTACAAGAGATCTCGGTATTCATCACACCAATTTCAACAATCTACAAGGCAGGCAAAAACTAATGTCGAAATAATCATTTAAAATTGTAATCTTCTTTTAATAATAATTATAACATGTAAGTTTTTTTTCAGAGGCATTAACAAACAATGTTATAACATAAGATAATTCAGAATTTGAGATTTTGATACAGTTTAAAACTTCTGAACATGGTAGAAACATTCTAGGATGATTTTATGTGTTGCCTTGTTTCTGAAAAATTTATTTCCTCTAATATTGCATTATCCACAAGTGGGTAGGAATTTTTTTAAGAATTACTGCTTTTTCATCGATCCATTCATAATTCATGAGATTATACAATTTCACAAATAGGAGAAAATCTGGAGACACCAACCTCCACCCTAAAAGCTAGAAATAATATTGTGGAATACCATGCCAAGGTACATGTACATGTAGAAAGGAAATAAGAGTAATACAAAAGACACTTTGTCTACCGCTGAAAGCACAACTGCACAATGATCCCAAACCTGCAAGACCTTTCCTGATGCTCAGTATTAATCCATCTTACATGTTCATCTATAATTGTAAGTAAGATCTTCAAAAGTATTTTGTAACATTTACTGTTGTCCTAGCTCTCTATTGGCTACAAGTGCAGAGACATTAACAGATAACATTATAGCATAAGATAATTCACAATTTGAGATTTTGATACAGTTTACATGGTAGAAAGATTCTTGGACGATTGGATGAAAGCACAACTGCACAATGATCGCAAATATGCAAGACTTCTCTTGATACTCAGTATAAATCCATCTTACATTTTCATCTATAATTTTAAGGTAAGATCTTCAAAAATATACCATGGGATTTAATGTTGTCCTAGCTCTCTATTGGACACAAGGGCAATGCTGTGCTTAATAATTCAGTGCAAGGACAACAGCACTAAGGCATCAAGAAATGTATTAGGTGTGTTGGAAATATATCTTATTTTTAGTATTGTTCATGAGTCATAACTACAAGTTGACACAGTGCAGAAGTGGAACATTTGTAGCACACAATGGATTTCCTTCATATGGTAAAGATATCTTGATTTCCAATGACATCATCAAAACAATAAAATGAGACCACTCTTTCATACATGCAGAGCGCACACAATGTTCAATAAAATTTGTACACCTCTCATCAAACTTTGTAAATTGTATGGGCTGACTTGCAGATTAGCATCATCATAAAGTCAAAGCAATGAGGAATATTTAGAAGGGGAAGGTGTAAAGATCTTAACCCACTGAGTATGGTTTAGTTTAGGTACCACCAACACTTTTCATAGCTATCTGAGGCTCAGTATTGAACAAGTTAAAATCCATATACAATGGAGGAAATGTTCACATCCGCAGGATACAGTCATGCGCATGTTAGAGCAATACATACTTCCTGTATGCTTTACAGCATTTTCAACTTGACAGCACATAGAGCAATTCCTGCCTGCGTGAACTCTCTACGCTTCGCACACCTCATAGACAAAATAATCAAAGATTTCATACATACAAAAAAGATGATTCCATTTCTTCAGACATGTACATAAATCCTAATTTCTCGTCCATTTTCATTGTGTCCTTCAATAATTTGATCAGTATTCATCATGTGATTTCATGTAGACTGGCTTAGCCTGCTTGCGTAGCCTAACTTGGGCTTTCTTGTCTTTGCTCATAGAGGGAGGCAGTCCACCATAAGGAATGTTCACAGGCCTGGGGTATGGTGTCCTGTAATGCAAAGCTAGGAGAAAGATGAATGAAAAGAAATTTGAAGAAAAAAATGAATAGTCAAGTGAATCAGTCATTCAAAAGGAAAAGCAGCAAGATAAATTTGCATGTTGATTCTTAAGAGTATGTAAGTGAGTCTGAAAATAGATATTGGTAACAACAATACAGTTTTATATGACAAGTTTTATACGAAAGTTTTATATGATTGAGAAGCAGACAACTATTGAGATATGGGACTTGGAAGAAAGTGGGAGCTGGAGAGAGAGAGAGAGAGATAGAGGGGGGGGGGGGGAGAGAAAGAGAAAGAGAGAGAGAGAGAGAGAGAGAGGGGAATTCAGAATTCAGATAGTGAAATAAATAAGGGTGTGTGTGTGTCGCGGGAGTCGGATGTACACTGCAAATGCTTCCTGGAAACTGCCTACATCAACATCCTGGGATGTCTTTATCTGGAATTTCTTCATGAATTTAGGAATTTCACCCTTCCTTCTCATGGCAGATTGAATTTTGTGTTCTTTTGGACCAATTCTGTCAACTGAAATCTAAGCTAGATTTTGCCACTCATTCCATTAAGAGTGCCATCGAAATCTGTAGTCCCACAGCAAGACTCTGATGTCTACAGCTTTCACATGGGCTACAGTCATACATGTACAGACATGTACAGGGAACCACCTAGCTTCTAGTTCTACACTGTACAACTGGCAACCATGGTCAATACTGTAATGTATGATTATTATTACATTCCTTTCTCCACTATGAGTTGATTGCATTAACATGCCCAAGAAACCTAAATTTCCATGTGCTTCATGTGGGGAAAATGTGTCTTGGAAGTCAAGGGCATTCAGTGTGAAGGTGAATATAAACAGTTGTTCCATGCCGAGTGTTTTAACTTTAACTCTACAGCCTACAGTGCCCTAGGCACCAGCTCAATTGTGTGGATCTGCAACATCTGTGGAGTACACAATATCAGCAGGTCAGATCTACTCCTTCCCAGTGCCTTCAGTAGCAACCTCAGCAGCCAAAATCTGTCATTTGAACCACACTGACATTGAAACATGCACTACAAATCCTGACAGCAAGGATGAAGGCGAAAGTGATGACTCACTATGCCTTGGATCACCAAAGTTCTCCCCCTCACCCAGAACATCAAAAAAGAAACCCAACAACCCAACAAAGCCAAAGGCAAAAGTCTTAACAATACTCAACGTAAACTGCCAGAGTATTCGCGGTAAGAAGCAGTCATTCGCAATTCTTATACATCAACACAATCCAGATGTAGTAATAGGGACAGAATCCTGGCTGACAGAAGACAAACGCAGTACTAGTGAAGTGATCCCCACTGATTACTACAACATTGAAAGAAGGGATAGACCCAACGATCCCCATGGCGGTGTATTTCTTGCGATCAGGAAGGATCTTTTGGCATCCAGAGAAATTGAACTAGAAACTGACTGCGAGCTCATTTGGTGCAAGATCAGCATGCCAGGAGCCAAGACTCTCCATGTTGCTGCCTTCTACAGGCCCCATGAGGGAGATGAAGAGAGCCTTACAGAGCTAGAAAGATCCTTGTCAAGACTGAGCCCCACCCGCTCTGTTGTAATAGGCGGTGATTTCAACTTACCGGGATGGGATTGGAGAAACCAACAAGTCGGCAATTGCAGATATCCCAATCTCCACCGCAGCCTGGGATCTCTCCTTGATGACCACGGTCTCACCCAAGTAGTTACTGAACCAACCAGATACTAGAACACACTTGACTTACTCCTTGTCAGCAATCCGACTGTAGTCAGTGAGGTTACCGTTGTCCCAGGAGTGTCTGACCATGATTGCCCTCTCGTCAAGCTAGATGTGAGACTAACCTTACCTGATGCAGAGGAAAGTATTACTCTACAGCAAAGCTCAGTGGGAGAAGTTTGGTGAGAGCATGGAAGCAGTCAGAGATGAGATAGAAGCTAAACTACCATATGCCTCTGTGAATGAACTATGGCTCATCTTCAAGACTGGCATCGAGAAGGGCATCAATGACTTCATTCCTCAAAAGCTGACTCCACACAAAGCCAACTTACCATGGGTGACAAGTAGCATCAGACGACTCATCAAGAAACGTGACAGACTGAGCAACGAGTGCAAACACCTCCGGAAGAGAGAGGGCCTCGTTCCATATGCTCTGGAAGAGCAGCTCCGTGATCTCAAAAGAACACTCCAATTCGCACTCAGGAAAGCTTACTGGAACTATGTCGAGTCCATCTTTACTGTTGAAGATGATGACGAAGGACCAGGGAAGTAAAACTGCATGAAGAGATTCTGGCAATTCATCAAGAATAACAGAACTGACAGTGCTGGAATTGCAGAACTCAAATCTGACGGCGTGCTATTCAGTGAACCTGCTGAGAAAGCTGATGCCCTGAATAGACAGTTCAAGAAGGTTTTTACACAGGAAATTCCAATTCCTCCTCATCTGTTGCCAGATACTTCTGAACACAAATCGATGCATGACATAGTGATAATCGTGAAGGGTATCGAGATGATGCTTAAGAAACTCAAACCACATAAAGCGTCAGGGCCCGATGGGATCACCCCACGCATCCTGAAGCAGCTATCCAGAGTCATCGCTCCCATCTTACGCATCATCTACAGACTCTCGTATGACACCGGCAAGATACCAGATGACTGGCACAAAGCAAGTGAGGTGCCTGTCTACAAGAAAGGCGACAGAACCGATCCTAGCAACTATCGCCCAATCTCTCTCACATGTATCTGCTGCAAGATGATGGAGCACATCCTTGCAAGTAGCATCATGAGGCATGGCGATGAAAAGGACATCCTCCACCCCCTCCAACATGGGTTCCGACCAAAGAGATCCTGCGAGCAACAACTACTGGGATTCGTTAGTGACCTCCACAAGAACATGGAGCTAGGTCTGCAAACTGATGTCCTTGTCATGGACTTCAGCAAAGCCTTTGACAAGGTCGGTCACCAGAGACTAATGCACAAGCTGGACCACTATGGAGTGAGAGGCAAAAGCACCAGGTGGATCACCAACTTTCATCACAATCGGACCCAGCAAGTTGTTCTAGAAGGCCATGCATCACCTGAGGTCGACGTCGACTCAGGAGTACCTCAAGGCTCTGTCCTCGGACCCTCTCTATTCCTGTACTACATCAACGGCCTACCAGACAAGCTCACCTCTCCAGTATGTCTCTTCGCAGACGACGCCATCATCTACCTAGCGATCAAGGGCAGACAAGACCCTCTTGAACTACAGGAGGACCTTAATAGGCTTGCTGAATGGTTCTCTGAATGGATGATGGAGCTCAATACGGACAAGTGCAAGACCATCACAGTGTCCAGGAAGAAGAGCCAGATACGACACCAGTACATCCTGAACAACACACCACTGGAAGCAGTCTCATCAACCAAGTACCTTGGCATCACAAGCACATCTGACTTGAAATGGGACAAACACATGACAAGCATATGCCAGAAAGCAAACAACACCCTTGCCTTCCTCAGACGAAATCTCCGGATCAACTCACCAAAACTGAAGAGTACTGCCTACAAAGCTCTAGTAAGACCACTCATTGAGTACAGTTCTACAGTTTGGGATCCCTCCTCTGCAAACCCCATCCATCAAATAGAAATGGTACAAAGATGGGCCGCTAGATTCACCCTCAATCGGTACAACACCTCTAGCGTGACCTCCATGCTCCAACAACTTGACTGGATCACACTCAAGCAACGCAGAGAAAATTACAGACTAATGATGATGTACAAGCTCCACAACAACCTGGTAGCACTCGACAAAGCATCCTACATCAACCCTGTCACAAGACCCTCCAGGACTGCCCATGCACATAGCTACCAAGTCCCCGTTCAAGAACTGAGCAACATAAGCAGTCCTTCTTCCCCAGGACTGTGAGGAGTTGGAACAACCTGCCATCAGAAACAGTATGTGCCTCATCCGTCAATGCCTTCCGTCAATGCCTGACGGGAGACAGCAACTAAGTCCAGGAAATTTTTACTTGCACCATGTAAATAGCATTGCACCATGCACCTTGCTCTCGTATTAAGCACACACACACTCATCAGTCTTCAAGAATCTTCAACTGTGAAGGAGGTAGACTTAACCCAAAGAAGAAGAAGAACAAACATAGAGATATACACAAAGACAAAGATACTTTAGAGTTTGACAATTGTAAAGGAAACAAAAGAGGCTGGAGGAAGGCTGAAATGCTTATTCCCTCAGGCCAGTTGCACCTACCCATGGTTAGTCTGGACTCTCCTTCTTGAATGCAAAGTTTGATCTCCTCAACATCTGTCAGCTGTTAATCAAAGGAAAAGAATTACAAAAAAAAAACATTACTACTTATATATCAATAACATATGATGTAGATTTTGCCAAATTCATTTTTTACATTGAGTGTTTTTTTTTTTTTTTTAATAATAATAATAATCCGGTTTTTTACATAGCGCTCAATGAATAAGTTTTGACTCATCTTCAGCTCAATCTTTACTGGGTTAGTTATGGGCTTATTGGAGAGGGTGTGCAAATTTGTCTATTGTGTAGGACTGCTTATGGTTATGCCACAGTGGGTTTTAACTTAAAAAAAAAAAAAGGGGGGGGGGGAGGGTTTCAATACAATGCTGTTTTCATCACTGATTTCAATGAAAAATGCTAAATAAATCTATAACATACAATAAGTACACTGCCACCTGGTGCAATGAGGTTACACATGATCAGGAATTAATTCATCAAATATTTGTGTGTGTGTGTAAATTTAGGTACTATACGTCTACTGGTAATGTGATTCAGCTTCTAGAATTTTAAAAGACCTGATTGTGATCAAATGTGGCTAAGACAAGTACATAGGAGCATCAATAGATCTTAAAGGGAAGGGAAAGGGCAATTGTATAATTAACAGTACATTTAACTACCAGTTACCCCCCTCCATTCTCCCTGACAAAAAACTATTAAAGGCAGAGACATGATTCCTTGTAATCCCATACTTGTCTATTTTTCCTGAAGAGTTCTTTGGTTTCAGTCTTGATGTATTCCCTCTCGGATTTGGTGTCACTGAGTACTCCAGAGCTGGCCTCCCATTTCAGAGCTGTTCTCAGTAAGCTTTTATACAGGGATAGAGATTGGGATCTCAAACTGATGGCAGCCATTTTGGTAGACTTAATTCTCAAAGAGCTTGGGTCATATTGGATTCTCTTTTGACTTTGCGATTTTGCTAAAAAGTTAAAGAAAAAATCAAGGAAATCATGATTAAACTACATGCACCACACACACTTCATGTGTAAACAGAATTTAACATCTGTTATAATACTTTAACATGACCTACGGTAGTTTAATTGTTTCTGGGCTTTTCGTGAAATAGGAAACCACCATTCACTCCATCCAAGTCATGTACAGTACTTGAGGCTTCAGCTCAGCTCTTCATTTTGTCACACACATTATAGTCCCACTCCATAGCTAGACTCTACACACAATTAAGTGTGTGCAGGCAAATGATTCATTTCCAACACCACGATACAGCCCATTTCTGTCACAAAATTAAGGCAACCCCTCCAAATCCTGAACATCTTTAATAAAAAACAAGCGTTCAACAAAACTTAGACAAGCTCTCTCTCTAAAAAAAAAAACCTGTTCATTGTTTTTAATCAGTCTTACAATACCATGATATGAATACAGTACAATTTGATATCACCATGATTACAGGAGGTCAAAATCAGACTTTTGAAGTATAGTTATAGACCCATACAGCTCCAATTACTGATTACCTGACAGTGAATTTCAAAGTTCCTAAAGCCAAACATGTAGGTCTATGTCATGACTCATGTCAAACAGCCAATGCAACCCAAACAAATTGAAAACAAGTTAGTTTCACCAAATTAGAGTTAGGCCTATAGTATAGACTTGATCCCGACATGACTTAGACCCTACGTCATTTAATGAAATTATGAGCTCTGCTGACCAGTGTAAAAATCATAAATTCATAATTGTAAAACATCTCATCAAAGTTGACATATTACCAGATGAAGAATAATGCATCAGATCATCAGCGCCACAGCACAGTACAGGCACAGCTCAGTTCGCATTCGTCGCCTTGAGCTTCACCTATCCAGCTAACTAGCTAGCTTCAGCCAGCCATCAGCTCCGGCGTACGTAGCATGCCAGCGAGCAGAAAGCGCGCGCGCGGCGTTTACTTTTTATAACCGAGAAATGGCGACCGCAGGGATGACTGTTGAAGATGAGACAGAGATGGAATTGGCCCAAAAGGGCCACATTAAAGAAGAATTTACTGAATTTAAAACAGTGAAAAACTTGTTTCAGAGCCTTCCCAACATATACAATGATCAGATTGGTGTGGAGTTAGCTCTGGAGCAGTTTACTGGTAAGTCTTTTCAAAAGGAAAATATAAGCTTATGTGAACCAACACGGAATTTAGTATGTGGGAGCGTACTGTAATCCTGGGTGTAGTAGAGCCAGAGGAGGGGGTAGAGGAGAGGCTGGGGGGGGGGGGGGGGAGGTGCGCCGGTGCGGGGTTCAAGCTGGCTAAATAATGTCATGAAACTTCGAAAGGGAGCCCACTGCCATGGTAAAAAAAGCAATGTACCTAACATTTCCTGTGACAAGAATTTTTGGTAATTCTTAAGATTCTGCCCTAGTCGAGGCTAGATCCTCTAACAGTTAGGGACCTACTCTAGATCTAGACCTACTTGAGTCAAAATTCCACTTTCCAGAACATCTTAAAATTTGGAAAATGTAAAATGACTAAAAAAGATACTCAAATGATCAAATATACCTTTTGGATGCAGACAAACTTGTCCAAGGTCAACATTAAAGCTCATGTCTAATTTAAGGCATTGTTTCCAGACAATACCATCCTTTTTCTAACCTTCTTCGAGGTATCGCGATATACCTTGGAGTCATACCTTGGAAGTAGGCATAAAGTTATACAAAACTTATTTGCCCCTTGGTGTCTGTTAGTGAGTTACTTTTGAATTTGGCGTATAGATATAGATTTCTTGCTTGCTTACTTACTTGCTTAGCTTACTTGCTTAATGCGGTGGTCACATCCCGCCGTACTTGCAAGTGCGTGCTGTCTACGTGCAAAAACGTGGGCAAAATTTGGGTATCCGTACGTGATGAGTACCGCCTCCGTACGGATTTGGGAGCACGCAGACACCCCGTAGCACTTTTAGTGCATGAGGAACTTTCGCTGCGTTCGGGGTGCGTTCGGGCTACCGATTCACCCCAGTGCGTGTGACGTGCGTGCCCGGTACTGCCAACGAGCGCACAACGCACTGACTCCGTGCGTCTTTTAAAGGCGCACGTAATAAGTGCGTGGTCCGTGCTTACTCGCCACTTCCCCAGTTCATCTATCCAATGAGGACGCAGAACTCGCGTGGACCGTACCGAGTAAGCACTTACAACGCACGTTGTTCGCACTGATTTATGCAGTATATAGTCTCTTCGGTGGAATGGGCGACATCTTGAGGCAGCAACAGCTGGAACTTCTTGAGAACATCGAAATGTCGTCCTATATAAACACAGAGTTCATCGCACGTGCACGCACTTACAACATGCGAGTGAGTAAGGACACCGTACGTGAGCAGCACTTGTAAGTACGGCCTCCGTACGATTACGTGGCAACCGCACGGAAACCGTACGTTGTAAGCACGCTGTAAGCACGTACAACGCACTTACCACGTGCGTAACGTACGATGCACGCAACCGTTCACGGCCAGGCGTGGCGTGCGGGCCACGTACTTACACAGTGCGTGTGACGCGCGTTGCCGGTACTCCCTCCCTGCCTTTTCCACTCCCTACGTTTTCAGAAAAATGTGGCGGCCGTGGCCTCACCAAAAACCGTACGGACTAAAAACACGCACGGTGGGATGTGACCAACGCTTAAGTCGGGTCAACTGCCTGAGCTGTGATGGCCTTCCACACATTCCTGTCCAGCATGGCTGCTTTTACCTCTGACAGTTCAAGTCCCGTATCCTTCTTGAGTAGGTCTGTATAGTTAAGATGAGGTCTTCCAGGTTTCTTCTTCCTGTGTTTAGGTTTCCAGAGTAAAAGCTGAGATATTGGTTCATTGATGTTCCTACAGCTGTGGCCTGCAAAACATAGCCTTCTTTCCCTGATCTTTTCTGATACTTTTGGTAGATTCCCGTACAGCTCCTTATTTGTCATATGCTGACTCCAGTGCATGTTGAATGCTGTCCTAAGAAGTCTGGTGTAGCAACCATCTAATTCTTTTGCAAACTTTGTTGTAACTGCCCATGCTTCGCAGCCGTATAGCAGCACAGAAACAAACTATGGACGTTGCCCAGGTAACAGGCAATAGGTAATGACAAATATGCCCGTTGCCCCAGGTAAAGGGCATAGTTAAATTTTTCTGAGATCCTACCGTAAATCTCTTTGTATAAGGTGCAACTGTGTATAAGGCGCACCCCTACTTTGAAGACAAAACAAAAAACAAATAAAAAAATTGGGGGAAAAAAAATTCTGGAATTTAAAAAATAATTCTGTCATCTTTAGTTTTAACATTTTCTAAAGACAAAATAAATATTTATCTCTTATTTTTAACACCGCATGTTTTTTTTAAAGCGGAAAATTACTTGGAAATGACAACAAGTTTCGATACTGATAGCTGTTGCAAGGCAAGTTCAGACTAGTCAGACAAAATGCGCAGTGCACTTCGTTAGGCGAGGCGTCAAAAATAAATATACCAGCCAGCGGCAGCTAACTGCACTTGTGCGTCCTGGCTGCATTTTTTTAAATTAGCTCAGCCGGCTACCGCTGGCGGTAGGACCCTCAATTAACTCATGATGTCATCATAATGGTCTCCGAACAAAAGCATGCGCCGGCTGCCGCCTTTCGAATGGAAACCGAGCCTCAGATCCCAGCCTGGCGCAAGCCGGCTGGGCTAATAAGTGAAAAATAATTGCCCCAGCCAGGCTTCGGCCGTAATTGCAGCCTCGATGCGCCAATACGTGAGGCGGCAGCCTGCTGGTATCGATATTTTTGACGCCTCGCCTTAGCTGTAATGCATGCCCAAACGAACACAAACAAATAGGCTATACGTGATCGTAACAAGAAATCATTCAAAACTATGAAAGCACAATTGGAAAGACAACTGCTCAAAATTACCATCATCAGATACATAACTTGGACAAAGAATTCAATAGTCATCCAAGAAATGCCACGGAAATTGTGATAATCGAGGAGTAACTGGGTACATTTTTATCGAAAGGGGCCTGTTGCTTGTTATACTGCTTTTTACCGTAGAGGCCAGTACAGTAACTAGCTAGCTGTGCTGGCAACAACAACCCTATGCGGCAAAGTGCTTTGCAACCCATATTTATAACGGCAGTTCGGATTGATTCAGGATGAGCTAGAATATGATTGGTAAAAATTAAATACTTAAGTTTTCAGGTGGATTAATTTAAGAGGTGCGCAAAACTGCAATTTCTTACATACATGTATTTCATTATTTTTTTCGGAGCATTTTGAGGACTCAAAATATCCTGTACCTGTGTATAAGGCGCACCCCGACTTTTGATTTTTGCCGACAGAAAAAAAGTGCGCCTTATACACAGAGATTTACGGTAGTTGGTTTACATGTAAAAAGTTCTACATGCGAGCATGGATACCATACAGTAAAATTCAAACAACTTTCCAGTGAAGATTAACATACAGTTTCTCAGATTATCTGTGATATTTTAACCAATCTTTAATCAAGAAAAGGATAATACGGCCAGAATTCTTTGTAGACTATATTGTGAAAATGGTATATAAAAGATATATGGACTGCTTTCCTGTACCTGTTTTTATACCGGTTCTGAGGGACATTGCATCCTGCTACAGTGTATGACCCCTTGAGCCTATATAGAAACATCTATGTCTCTCAAAGCGGTCAATATATCTATATTATCACTAATAGCCTAGTGTCACCACCAAAATTTGTATTTTATTGTAAAATATCAAATATAAATCACCATTACGTTCAATTCACATTTGAATAAGAATAACAAAACCATGCATATAAAATTCAAATGTAACTTTGTAAAGGACTTAAAAACTGTAAGGAACAACTTTGCAGAAAGTACCTCTCAATCTTTTATGCCGAGCTGTTCATAAAGTTAAATTGCTGCCATCAGACTGGAAACTCAAATATGGTGCAGCGTTTAAGTGGAGAGAGACCTTCTACTTTTTAACTTTCACCTAATCTGCTTTGTCAGGTTTTTCTGCTTTTTTCAAAAGCAACTTGTTATAAAGATTGATTATAAAGATTTGATTACCCTGATGATCACATATGATTACTTGCTTACCGGTACAGTGATTGTGGATGAGTACCAGGAGCAGCCTCATCTGCTGGACCCTTACCTGGAGGAGATGGTCCTGGACTTCCTCTCCATCGGTAGAGACATGAACCTTGACAGGAAGCTCTCCCATCTTGCCTTCAAGTTCCTCTATCTTCTCACGAAGGTGAACTATCATTATTTATTTATTTATTTATTTATAAGTCTTGTTTTAGTAGGGTGGCTCCATCAGTAGTTAGTTGAATACTGTTTTCCGTGGAGGCCCTACATCAATAGACCGTGGAGACCCTACTATCAATAAACTACAGTCAAACCTTTCTTAGTGGCCACCTCTCTATAAAGGCCGTCTGTCTATAGTGGTCATCAATAATACATGTACCTCCCTCTAGAAGGAAATGTGTTTTGAAGAACCTGGCTTAAAGTGCCACCTGTCTTTCGTGGTAATTTTTGTGTTTTCCTTGGGTAATAATAGGCAAGTTTGACTGTATGAAACTGGCATAACAACCCTCTGGTCCTACACAAATAAATCTAGGGTTATGGTCATGTAGATGTATTAAGTGCTGTATAAACCCAGAATATTATTATTATTAATGCAGACATTATTATTTAAACTTAAGACCAATGGTTAAAAGGACCAATTAGATGTAGTATCAACTCAAAATATCCTGTAACAAAATAAATATCTTCAAGATACAGGAGAGAGGTGTCTGTTTTGAAACACTTTATCTTTGATTTCATAGAATCGTCATGGAAGTCACAAAGTAAAATACATATGTAGTTCATCACTTTGCCTGCATTATGTCATCCACTATCTGTATTAGTTTATCTATGACTACCTCTATTTCCATGTGAGACTCTCTTGTTGTGAGTTTTCCCTTTTTTCTTTTAAGTGAGGCATTTTCTGTGTCAATGAGACAAGACTTTACTCATCACATATGTATTGTCAATCCTTAGTATGTGTATCAATCCTAATTTCCTCAGGATAATTCAAGTGATTTATTTTCATAGCAAGACTACATGTATGACTCCTTCCCAAGAATGTATTATTGACCACTGTGCACATGAAATGACCTTTGTTTCCAGGCTCGTGGACCTAAGGTCATCGTTAGACTGCTACCCCATGAGGTCGTGGATCTGGAACCCACCCTTGCTCTCCTGAGTGCTCAAGATCCTAACGATCACGAGGTATGAACAAATTATCAATTTGTGTTTATTTTATCTTTGCTTGAGAAATGTTAAGCCATCTTGTACATGCTGTATCCTGTCATGTCAATTGGTTTCACATTGATGAATGGAAAATATTAACTGCCATATATATGAGAGAGAGAGAGAAAACAACATTGAGTTTCTGTTCATTTTTCATGGAGTAGAATGTAATGTATTGTACCGGTATTGTAATTGAAATGTAATTTAATGTACATAAACATGAATTATGTACAGTATATTCATGTAGTTATAGAGAGATGGAAAGAATCATGCGCTATATATATAAGTCAAATATTATTTCTAATTTTATTATTTCATCTTGATGCAATAGGCCCTCTGTAGTACTGGTAAACGGAAATGAGTGTGTGCTATACACTGTTATATTAAAGTTGAATATTCTTTCCATTTATTATTTCATCTTGATCTAATAGGCTCTCTTCAGGAAACGAATATTAGTCAGAATTTAAATAATCTGGTGAGCTCATGCATACATGTATTGTCAGTTGTAAAAGGGAATGAGTTAACGCCCCTCAGGAGACAATATGACTCGGTCAAGTTGTCGACTCTCTGGTATCCCTGCATTTACAAAATGTCCCTTGTTCAAGTCAGAGCCATTTATCTAGACAGTAACATGTAACCTAGATGTAAGCTGTCAGATTATCATTAAACATTTGTAAAATCCATGTACACAAACACACACATACATACAAATGACATTCATATCTGTCCAGTTGACTCTGCATTTAACTCAAAGTTGCACAAGTTGAATTTTCAATTTTTTGGACCAGACTTTGCAAAACATATGTTATATATACTTCCTATTTGTCAAATTTGCATATTAAAGTCAAGCTACTTTTTGCAATCCCAACAGATTCGACTTACGCAGAGTTAACTGTAGATAGTTCTAATGTAAGACCCTTTTCAAGATAAATCTATTAAAACACTTTGCGCTCTATGTAATGTATTACTACCGGTATACTGTTTTGCTTCTCTACTTTATCCATCACAGACTTGGGAGTCTCGCTACATGCTACTGCTCTGGATGTCCATGATATGCATGATACCATTTGATATGTCCAGACTGGACAGTGGTGTGGCCGGAGCAGGTGACCAGCAGACTAAAAGTCTACCCACCATGGACAGGATACTCAATGTAGCTAAGGTCTGTATGGGTATAAACACCTTGACCCTTCCTGTGTTGAAGGTGTATAATCCAATGTCCTTAAAATCTAGTTTTTTGTTTTGGTTTGTATAATTTTAACTTGTAAAAAAGGGGAAGAAAACCAGCTTAAAGTAATCTAGAATTGTTAATGAAAAAATAGAAGCTTGGGCCAGCAAAATGTTAAAAGTAAACTCCTTTTAAATTACATAAATTGAAATTTGCACCTCTTCTTTAAATATAATAGAGAAAATTTGTTTTCTGTCATTATTCAATTATTGGGCATTTTTAAGTAAAAAATTGTAATTTATTTGTACTTTTGAACACTCCTTGTATGTCTAGTTTGATTCTCTGCATAATAGTTTTCCATCATTACCAGACCTTAGGACTATATTTAAGCTAAGTGTTGATGGCCTGATGATTTTGCCTTTTATTTCATTATTTTATTTAAATGATTTTAAGAAAGACAGGGAAGAGAAAAATTACACTTTCTTGATTTCCTTTACTGCTTCTTTAGATTTATCTTGGGATGAGCGACAAATGCAGAGATGCAGCTGCCTTCATGGTATCAAGGTAATTTATCATAACAATTTCTGTGTTTCCTTTATACTATGATGGTGATTTCAGAATGAGAATTTGCTGCCAGTAAAACGGTATCACTGTTTTATAATGTTTTATAATGTTTTATAATGTTTTATAATGTTTTATAATGTTTTATAATGTTATAATGTTTTGGTCATCTGTCAAACTGAGATCAAGAAAATTTAGAACTGAAGCCATTAAAAATGAACATTTTCTTTGACATGTGATAGGGACTTTATGTATTTCATAATGAAACCTGGCCTTTGCCTCTGCCCTATTATTCAACTCGACTAACCAGGGTCCCATTGCATTAGACCTAGCACTGATGATAATGCTGCTATTAATGGTATCTTCCTTGGAAACCTTAATTTGGTTGGCTGTTGAGTGATGTTGCCATGGTAGTTAATATTGGTGCCAAAGTTGCCATCCGTGGTAAGTTTTATATAACAGGTCACAAGCTATATTTCAAAATCTGAAGAGTTTTGTACTATTTATAGTTGCACCATGCTGCTCAAGATCACATTTGTGCAATCTTGAATTAGTGCTACTTCAGGGCCCTCTTGCACAAAACTTTAACCATTGATGGCAACTACCATGGTAACAGGGCTCAACAGCCAATCAAAATCAAGGTTTCCATGGTAATAACCATTGATGGCAAAGTTACCATCACTGTTAAGTTTTGTGCAACAGGGCCCTGATGTGGTTATTCTCATTATATGATTGGCAAAGGAGCAAAAGTATGCATTCTTGCTTAACGAAAGAAGGTGTGTTCTATGGCTTTCTACTATTGTCATTAATTGATGTAGGTTTCTTACAAGACATGATGTTAAACAGATGAGGTTACCTGAGTTTCTGGACTGGTGTCTGCAGACTGTCACAGAGGAAGGAAAAAGTAAGTTTTCAGTTATGAAAATAATAATAACAACAATGGAATTTTGTGTAGCACTCAATGGAATTGGACATTAATAAAAAAGAAATATGAAAGTCAATATCGTGTCTACATAATTGAGTGGGCCATATCATCCCGGATGTGGTGCATCAATCATTTGATCCTCTGTTTTATACAAAGAAAAACCTTGCCAATGCAGGCCTGTTTAATACTTGTGTAATTAATATGTACATGTGTGTGTTGAGAAAATTTGCTGTAAGATGTCATATCTACCTATCCTGGGGGTGTTTCACGAAGATTCTAAGTTCAAATTATCTATAAGTTGGACTTAACAATTATGAAAAACCATAATCATCTTTGGAAATATTTTTTGATTTAAAAAGTTATTTTAAAAGGCATGAAATGTTGTTCAAATCATTCATATTTTCTGTCAAGGAGATATCATGTTCTTGATGTGGAATTTATGAAAAGTCTAAAATACTTTTTGGAACTTTTTAAGGCTACAAATGGCTCTCTGTAATGTTTAAGTCCAACTTAGAGTTAAGTTCGACTTTTGTGAAACACCCCCCTGATGTTGTATTGAAAGATGCTGATAGGTCACATTTTTTGTCTTACATTCTTTACTTGCAGAAGAAACCATTACATCAATATTCAAAATGGCTGGAGTCTTGTCTGTCCTGGTAAGAAATACAGTGTATTAAACTTGGTTTGATACATCCATGAAATATTAATATTTTCATCATATAAGCCATCACATATAGCACTTGTACTAATGACCCCAAATATCCACAGAACCTTTACACATGGAGATGTTCCACTTGCATTTTAGTATAACCACTGCCAAAGTGATGGAGGTGCTTAATGAATATGGTACCTTTTGTTTGCCCTCTTGAAAAGAATATTTTCACCTGACCATTAATGAATAATTATTACATTACTTTCATGAACACGTAGCCTGTCATTTTACAAGAACACACATGTGCCAAACCAACCATATTAACGTTCGCATCCTACTGGGTACCCATTACACACCTGGCCGGAGAATGGCAAATGTGGATAAATGTCTTGCCAACTGGCACTATTGCCATTCTAGGGCACAAACCGATGACCTATGATTTCTAGTCCAAGTGTTTAAACAACTCCACTTCGACACCTTTACCTATATGTTGTAAGATATCTGGCTTTTGGATCCATGTTGTTCTGTAGAAGAAAAACAAATAGTGTGTGTGTCATGATGAACTCTGTTATTTTTCTCTTTACAGGCTCAATTGTTCAAGCTTGGCAAGAGAAGTGACATCCTTCAATATGGTAAGTTGCAAGTTTTCTCAGGTTTTTCTTAATTTATAAATATATTTATATTGAGAACACATGTACATGTATATCCACCCTTACGTTTTCACTTTCTTACTAGAAGCCATATCTCTATCCATCTAAAAGTATTTCTTTGAAGCTCGTACTTAATTAGTGTAAATTTTCAAATAAAAATCAAGCTGAAAAGGTGCAAAATTCTGTGCTTTTTTTGTTGTTCTTGTTGTAAGCAAAGTAATAAATATGATACAATCTGTTAGAAATTCAAGATCAAATCAGGCTAGAAGCTTAACATGTGACCACTTTTTAATTTTGACATATATAGAGTCAATACATATTTTTTCTTAGAGGGAAACAGTACAGGTTAACACTGTAGACATATGTCCTGTAGAAAGGTGGCCATTAGCCATATGGTTAGCCCTCTGTCTTCATTTAAAAATCAACTCGTGATGGATCCTGCTTTAAAATCAAGTCACATCTTTGGATAGTGATGTTAAATTAAGGGTCTGTCCCTGGAGGGTTCAGATGTAAATATTGATTGTAACATGTTTGTAACTACCCAATTAAGAAATTTGAACACACAGGTGCACCTAGCCACACAGACACAAATTAAAGTAATTGTGCTGTTGCTTCTATTTTGTCTCCAGCTCCAGTTGTTTTGCGAGTGTCGATGGAGTGTGAGCTAAGCAGTCATAACAACACACAGATAAGGAAGCTGTCTATGAAACTGGTGCAGAGACTAGGCCTCACTTTTCTTCCTTCCAGAGTCATGAAATGGAGGTTAGAATCTTTCTTTAATTTCAGTAACTAAATTGGTGATTCTAAAACCAAAGCGATTTTGAAAGATATTTAGAATCTTTCCAAGCAAGGTTCAGGATGATTGGCCCACTGCACTTGTACAAGAAGATTATTATTGTTGTTGGTTATACTCCTTTTGCAAACATTGAATCCAACAGGGGACAGAATAGCCATTATCTAGCAATCGTTGCGAATATTTACCAAAAATAATGGATAAAATACCCAATGTTCTTGTGTATATATATTTTCATACAATAAGAATAATATGAGAGTATCAGTAACATGTTTCTTTCTTTTTTACAACCAAAACTATACCGTACTAGTTTTCCAATTTCAAGTTGAATATACATTTGTGCATTTACATTAGGAGATAACTGATGTCATGATGGCTGTATACAGTAGTTTGTCTGATAGGTTATATCATGTATGAACAAGACGTTTTCTATTCAAGTATGCATTGATTTTTAATGATGGTGACTATGTGTACAGATACCAAAGAGGGAGTCGATCTCTGGCTGAAAACCTGCAGCCTGCCTCAGCTCCTGCTGGCATAGCATCAAAGACGACAGTAAGCAAGGAGGATGATTATGATGATGAGAACTATGACATTCCAGAGGAGACTGAAGATGTAATAGGTGAGTGACCTTTCTTAAAATAGTGAAATATTTTAATGTGCGATGTCTTTCAAATTTGACACTACGAGCACGATTTTGAGAAATATGATGGACCAGTAATTGTGGGTATACATATATATAAAGTAGTTCAATTAAAACGAAAACATAAGTAAACACAATTTTACCATATTTCAGGACATGATTGTGAAATAATAGAATATAAACATAATTTTCAACCTAAAAGCAAGGTTACATTTGCTTAACATACAGGTATGAATTGAAACGAAAATCAGATACAGTTCTCAATTGACTATTACATGTATTATAGGATATAGCCAAGCAAGAGCTTGCAAGAAATCCAACAGATATGAATGTATATGTACAGTTTAATGTCCTTTCTGCTCGTGCTACTTAAAAGTTGAATTATGACATTTTAATTGATGGAAATTCCTAAATTTGTATCAATCAATTATTCATTTTATCGCTCTAAAATTTCTGGTTTCGGCACTCTTATAGATCAAAGCAGATTTTGTTTTTGTTCCTTCTCTGGATTTGTTTAACTTTTCTGCTTTGTGAGACATTATGCATCATTACTTACATGTATGTAAAAAAACATCATTTTAAATATTCATTTGCGAGATTGGTCAAAGCTCAGGTGTAGAGTCAGAGACCTCTCACTATAGACTTCAAACCCGTGATTACAACATAATGTTTGTTGTGAGAGAAAACATTAGAGAAAGATATATCCTATTTTTGGGTGTTATGTAGTGTTTTCTTTTAATTTACTGTATCTGTGGCTCTGTGCCTTAGTCTATCCTTATCCCCTGTTCAATTTTGTACAAACTATTTTGTTGTTTTACTTCTCTCAGAACAACTTCTGACCGGATTGAAGGATAAAGATACAATTGTCAGGTGGTCTGCTGCTAAAGGGTATGTATCTACTTTTATTTTTTTCAAAGAATGTAGTTTTGATAACTTTGAGAGCAAGTATTTTGAATGGAAAATGTTTATCCTTCATTTCTAAAGAAGCATAGTTTAATGAATGTGAGCTATAGAAATTCATCCTGTTCGGTTGAAATTATTAATCAGCAATCTTCAAATGAATCTGTAGCCATTGGGTTACATCTGTTTTTAACCCTCACCACACAATATGAGATAGTCAGGGATTAAAGTTTGTGATATTCAGAGGCGATTCTTAAAACAAAAGTAATTGTATAGGGTCATTGTGTATAAACTCTGTTTGGTTTTATGTCTTTCAGGATCGGTCGTCTTACAGGGAGACTGCCCCAAGAGCTAGCAGATCAGGTCGTAGGATCAGCTTTAGAGTTAATCAGGTATGTCCACATAGATCGTCACCCTTTCTTTTAGGGCTCTCACAGTTATGGAAAAAACCTGGAAAGTCATGGAAAAAAAAATGTTTTAGAAAGTCATGGAAAATGAAGGAAAACAAATCTTCAAAATTCATGACAAGTCATGGATATTGATTATGGGTGTGAGCCATGTGTGGTTATGGTAGTTTTCCATGAAATAATATATACCAGTGCGTAGTATTCCTACGCCGCATGGATGCTGCACCCCATACCATAATGGTACTTATCAGGTCATGGAAAAAAAAGCAAAAAATGGGTCATGAATTTGGTTTCCTTGTATACATCAAATCTTGCGTATCCCTTTTCCAAACTTTTGAAAGCAAAAAATTGGTCATTGATCCATGATTTCATGCAATATTTGTAAACTACAGTCAAAGGGTCTCAAACCTAAAACCTAAAACTAACCTAATTTTCTTTTTCTTTCAGTAACATGCATGGAACATTATGACCCATCAACGATTCAATTTTAAATATCCAATGAGCAATAAAGTTTAGGAGTTCTAAAGAGACAATTTTGTATGAACTATGTAAGGTAGCTTTAAAATGTATCAGCACAAAAATATAAAAAGGCCCAAGGGTGAACAAAATGTTATAATTTGAATAATGACATCTTTTGGTAGTATGAAGTCCAATTACGAATTAAAGAAAGAAGAGATATTGACTACTCCTGTTTTTTTAGAACTAAGGTTCTATCACAAAGCCATAACATTATCGATTTCAACAGTTATGTATTTTGTTTTCTTTCTGGACACGTCTCTTCGTGACACAATATTTTGGTATTAAGCTACCTTTAATAATGCAGCTTTAAACTGTATGCCTGCAAAAGAGATATGCTTCATCCCTTACTTCATACTGTAAATGGACATTTGACAGTATATCACAGATTAAATATCTTTTGTACATTCTGTTTGTGAATCCTATTAATTGTAAACCAGCAAACAAAGAAATACATTTTAATTTCAGTATGAGAGAGTCTGATGGAGCGTGGCATGGTAGCTGTCTAGCCTTGGCTGAGCTCGGCAGGCGAGGGCTGCTTCTACCAGCTAGATTACCAGAAGGTATGTAGACTTTGATTATACCCTCTGCATACAGTATTATCTCGGGTGAAATGCCATTTGGTCTATAACCAGTTTGTCTACTGCCCAATTCCTTTCCTCATGGGCTAATAATCATGTTGTCTACTTATCATTTGGTCTAATGACCATTAAGGCTAACAATCATTTAGTCTTTTATTCATGAAGTCTAATCTCCAATAAGCCTTCTACCTATTTGGTATATTATTTATTAAGTCTAATAGCCAGTTAGTCTAATTCCCAGTTTGTATAATTCAAATGGATGATAATGTTGTGTTATAATAATAATAAATGATAAAAACGTTACTTATAAATACCACTGAAGTCTCTAAGCGCTATTCTCCCAGGGTAGCCTAATCAGTATTAATTATCATACCCCAGGATTACCAGGTACCTCATTAATATGCCTGGGTTGAGAGGGACAAATGTGGGTCGACTACCTTGCCCAAAGATGTAAGCACCAAGCAAGGTTTGAACCCAGGACCTTTCATATGAGAGTCAAGACCCTTCATCAATATCCTAAAGATAGCAAAGAGGAATTAACTGGGGTTTATTCTCAGAACAGGAATGGTCAGAAATAGATTTACAAGATGGAGAGATATCTCCTTGACCTCAACATTGAATCAACATCCTTCTGTTTCTCGGGGGCGTTTCAGAAAACTTGTCATCAGTGACAAATGACAGTTTTTGTTATAAGCTACTGAAATCCTTGCTTCTGATTGGTTATCAGCAGATTTTTCACTGATTTTTGTCATTTGTCATTGAAAAAAAGCTTTGTGAAATCCCCCCTGCAGACTTAGCATACTTCCTATCGTTATTTTCATCAAGTTCCCTTTGCTCTCTCTCTCTTTCTCTGCCATCCTTCAGTCATCCCTGTTGTAAGGAAAGCTCTCGCCTATGATGTCAAGAAAGGGTCTTTCAGTGTAGGTAAGTTGGTGCTATAGACATACACACGTGCTTACAGGAAATATGGATGTTTATACCATGTTACTTTTTAAACAGATTTGATTTTGTGACATTTCATGTTGTCATAAAACACATAGTATTGTAAACGCATATATATTTATATATTTGGATTGGCTTGAGGGTAAAGTATAATGAGTGAGCTTTGAGCACATTTATGTAGTCCATATTCAAGTGCAGTATTGTAAAAGGAAACAAATGTACTTTTTGCACACAAATGAAAAGCCAATGTCCTTCATATTTTGTACTCATAGTCCTCTGTTTGTTTTTAATTTTGATCCAAAGTTGAAGGAGGGGGGTAAATATACATGTATATGCTTTTAAAAAAAAGCAAGTGAGGATATTTGGTAGCTTTTGTGATAATTTGAATTGCTTGTGTGTGTGTCTCCCTCTCTTCCTAGGGGCCCATGTGAGGGATTCAGCTTGCTATGTCTGCTGGTCCTTTGCTAGGGCCTGTGACCCTGACGTCATCACACCATATGTCAATGAGATTGCTGTAGCTCTTTCTAGTTTAACTCCTTTGTCTCCTTCTCTCTCTGTCTTCCTAGGTGCCCATGTGAGGGATTCAGCTTGCTATGTCTGCTGGTCCTTTGCTAGGGCATATGACCCTGACGTCATCACACCATACGTCAATGAGATTGCTGCTGCTTTGCTCATCACAACTGTCTTTGATCGAGAAGTCAACTGCCGGAGAGCAGCATCAGTAAGGAAGAAACAAAATCATTAAAAAAAGTATTCTTGCATGCCAAAACATACTGATCATGATCTATTTTTATGTTTATTATGAGGGGAATAGTTCCTTTGAAGAGAAAAACAAATTCATAACATTTGTTTACATTTATCTGCAGAAAACTATTGGCCAGTGTTTCTTGATAACATGGTAGTCACAAAATGATTTGCAAATTTGAGATTTCTTTATCTAATGATTGTAAAAATTTCATCTGATTATTTGCCAAATCTATTCTAAACTTCAATTCATCTGTTTCTGATATTTCTGCTTTTCTAGACCAAAAGAAACTTTTACAAAGGTATACTTTTCTTTTATAAACATGTTAAAAAATGTATGAACTAGTGATAAAATGTATGAACTAGTTATAATATGTATGAATTAGTTATAAAATGTATGAACTAGTTATGAAATGTATGAACTAGTTATGAAATATATGAACTAGTTATAAAGTGAATGAACTAGTTTAAAAAATGTATGAACTAGATATAAAATGTGTGAACTAGTTATAAAATGTATGAACTAGTTATAAAATCTTTTCTTCCAATAGGCTGCATTCCAGGAGAATGTGGGACGGCAAGGAACGTTTCCTCATGGTATCGACATTGTCACAACAGCAGACTACTTTGCAGTTGGAAACCGCACCAATACATACCTCAATATCAGGTATGATAATGACAGCAATAACATCAAGAACACTTTCAAGCAAATTGAAAAAACACAAAAAGAAGCTGTTTAGCATTTATTTAAGGATGCCAGTTTTCAGGGAATAGCCTGAATTCAGGCACTGGCAAGTTATTTTCAGACCATAGTTTAGGCTTTTTTTGGTACAAAATAGCTCACTCTAGGTTATTTTCAGGCCCCCTCATCGATTCTAGCTGGCATCTCTGTTTATTTCATGAATTTGTGTAAAAACATACTTATTATTTTATGGAAGCCCTTCAGAATTTACTGTTGTAAATGAGATTTTCCTGCGATGAAGTCTCTTTTATTTCCATTTTTTTGTTTTGTTTTTAAATCAGAACTCTTAAAAAAGTTTTTCAGACCTCTTTTAAAGATTTCCAAAGCAACACCACTCATCACTTCTATAAATCTTGTTTTTTCTTCAATGTTAAAAAACGAGTGGTTGATTTGGGCCTAAATCTATTTTAATGAGTTGCTAATTTTTTGTTTTCCTTCTTTTCCTCTTACAGTTCATATCTAGCAGATTTTGAGGAATACACCTTGCCTCTTATTGACCATCTGTACAAAGTCAAGGTCGGACATTGGGACGGGTAAGTTCACAGTTTATTTGAATATTGGCTAGAAGAATTAAATCATAGAGATAATTAAGTATCGTAAAGCCGAATCCCCCTAAGACAAACTGGAAATATTTTGGGATTGGTCAAACATTGGGATATGTAAGTATTTAATCCTTTTGAATACATTCATAGAGAAGATTGAGTGTCATAAAGTTCAAAGTTTATTCACTCAATAATAACAAATATGGACATTTTCATCATTCAAGTATACAGTGAACTCAAACAAAAACATTCAATACAAAACAAATTACTCACAATGTATAAAGTATATAAACACAGAGTACAGAGTAGAAAATAAAATACAAGATAGAAAGCAAGTCGAGTGAGGACCGGCGTTAAAGATATTTTCTTTCTTATAAGATGGGCCTTAGATTCAAGCAAATCTTTTATAAAAGATACTACCCATTACCCACTAGAAACAGATTGTTCCAGTATTAAGGATCATGCATTGAGAGAAGTCAGTAGTCCAAGGGGTAAACATTTTTACATGGTTATGATTAATGAATCATTCATATGAGCAGTATTCCCCATTCTCACAGCTCCTCTGAATAGAATGTCAGCTATCAGTGCTCTAAATTGCTAATAGAGGGCTTTCGCACACAGGACGGAAGGCAAAGACGACGGTTACGCGAGCGAAAAAACAATCTACGCTTGTGCGAACCAGAGTTTTCTCTGTCTTGTTGATTTATACGACCGTACGTGGCCATTATAGCGTTCGTTCCCGAAACACGACGGAAGAGGTGTATCCCCGTAATTTTCCTGTCGTCTTTGCTTCTGTCGTGTTTGCGAAAGCGCTCAATTGTTGCCTGGAGGGATTCCTAATTTGTGTTTTGAAAGGTTGGCAGGTATGGTTGATATCACATTATGCACATTTTCATTTGTCACAACACAGTGCAATACGTGAACTGACCTCACAAGCATTACATGAACTTACCAAGAAGGCACCTGAGTACATGGCAAAAACAGGTGAGTGTCAAAGCAAAACAGTCCTTGTAGTAGGGAAGTTAAGAGTGGCTGCTTTCAACAATGAACGTAAAGTAATTGAAATATTTTTTGAACAGCTGATGTTGAAGTTAAATTGTTTAGATAGTTTAGAAATGCATCATTTTCTTCAAATCCTTGACATGATGTCAGTTTCTCTTTCCATTTTTACTTTCCAAATGAAATACAATAAACATGAACCTACTTCCTTTTTTAGTAACAAACTTGTTAATTTGATTACTCATTATTCCTAAGTATCATTTGAGGGGTCCACAATTGTACCAGCATTGCTTTTTAGTGGACCCCTCTGTTCACAATATGTACTCCTAAATTGTTGTAAATGTTTATAATCGATTTGTAATGATATGTTGGAAAAATAAACAAATTGAATTCAAATTGAATTGAATCGCATTAAATTCATTAAAAAAGACCCCCTAGTCTCCTTCATGAAAAGGCCTCATCAATGTAACATATATTGTTTCAACCATCACTTAACCGATTTGACAGATTTTAAAGGTCATTCACTTTTAATTTAAAATCTTGCTGAATATCACTCAAACAATACTATTTCAAAATTGAGCTTGTCCATTCAAGCACTAGTATTAAAGACACTTTACCTTCTCTTAATGACAGTATTGCCTGACTTGATACCCAAGGCTACTGGCATTGATCTCAACACCAGACACGGTTCACTTCTCGCTGTAGCTGAAGTGACACACGCTCTCTACGAATACGCTGAAAAGGAGTCAAGGTGAGAAAAGTTATTTAATTATCAAGATTTCATATTTTAATTCTGAAGTGTGACGTTGACTGCTAGATGGGAAATGGAATATTGCAGTATCGGATGTTAGCAACAGAATTGTTACTATTATGTTCATTGTGTATGTTTGTGTTAGAATGAAAATGCAATAAAATGGGGGGGCTGTACATGTACACATAGTCTCCTTACCTTGAATATGTATATATTGTAGATTTGTTTATACAAAATAGTGTAGAAGTCTACCATCCTATCAATTACTGTTATTTATCCTTGATATGTTCTATTCTCTTGTTCTCCAATTCAGGTCTTTGGTGGACATCATAGGTTCTTCAAGTGTGGAAGGATTAAAAGCAATCACAAAAAAGGTAATTTATTATTTTCCTCTGAGGTATTCTTTTTTACTCTCATTTATTTGCGAGGGAGCCCTTTTCAGTTTGAACTATGAATGTTGTTCTTGTAATTGCTCAAGCTTTTATTGTTCCCATATGCACACACAGAGAAGTTATTACCCAGAGAATAGGAAAAAAAACAGAAGACAATCGTGAAATGAATATTGGGTTCAGACGACACAGTTCATGTTCAGCTTTGGTCTGTGAAGCAGGTATTGATGTAAAAGTGATTGTGATAATTCCTTAAAGTTAATGCTGATGTAAATCTTAATTAAATTAAAGAGCGCACATAAATTATAGACAAGCATTTACCCCTTCAAATATTTAGGTGCCCTCTGAAAGCACATTTAATTAAGTCCTTATTTCTCCTTGTGTTTCCTTGATATAGATGGAGGAAGGAAGGATGTTTCGTGGTATGACGGGTGAAATCCTGCGTCCAGCTGTCTGCACCCTCATCGGCAAACTCTCCCTGTCAAAGTTACCTTTCCATGGAGATCCCATTATTGGTAAGTTCACTCAAAGGGACTTTCCCCAAAGTATTTTCACTTATGTGTGCTACGTATTCTCGATGACAGAGGAGGTGAACAAGTCACTGTCTGTCTGACTTTCTTCTAGATTTATCAACCAATATTCTTTGAGAAGTTGAGGACTTGAGTGAATGTTGCAGACTATGGATTCTTTCATTTTTGTCTCGCCTGCGTAGCAAAAAGCGAGACATAGGCGCCGCTTTAGGTATTCATATTATATCTGTTGCAATAGTTATTGTGCTACATTTAGTAAATGCTTCAAGTCTTCATTATTTGTACAGTTAGTGAATGTAAAATTACATATTATGGAAAGGTCTATTAAGCAAAGTTATCCCCCTGTATATTCTTTTTGATTGCTTGTTGAATCCAGACCAGTGGCAGACGTTGCTAGATGACAACATTGTGAGGTTACAGAGGACCGAGAGAGATATCCACAGTAAATCAGTAGCAGCAGAGAGGATGCTATGTCAGGAGTACTATCAGGATGCCAATGGCCAGGCAATGCCTGGTATCCAAGGTAACAGCATCTGATGTTGGTCCAACCATGGGGATGGGGCCTTGTTTTACTAGTTAAAGCCCCACTGTACTACTTATAGCTACTTGTACTCTCTATATAGCAAACAATGACTAATTGGTGCATGTTGGTCCCCCATGATCCCCTGTTTCTAATGTTAATTGAGAGCTTATTTGATGAGATAATCACCTGTCAGTGACCTTGCAGGGAGGTCTAGTCCCCCTGGCCAAACTAGTGCAGATGGGTTTAAATGAACTGCAAGGATATACATGTAAGATTGTGAAAATTGCGTTGTGTCATCTACTTTTTCTATCTTCCATTATTTTATTTTTTTATTTTTCATTTCTGTACAATTCAGTGGGGCACAGTGCCTCCAACAGAGTTCAAAAGCAACGTTGAGGGGAAACCTATCATATCATATCATTAACATTCCTTTTCATTTGTTGCAATGTAAAGTATCAGCTTAGTGAATTTCAGAATGTACATCCTGTCTTTTGAGGAAAATGGCCCAAATTAGGAACCACTATTAACTGTGTCTTGAAAGTTCTCTGTTTTATTTTAATGACAGATAAAGTGATAGACCTGTACATCAAAGGTTTGGAAGACCCCAATGAGATGGGTAGGATGGGAGCAGCCTTGGTCCTTGGTGAACTCCCCAGGTTCATGGTCAGAGGAAAGCTGCATCAGGTAACAATTAGAGAAGAAATCTTATACCATCCCTAATTATTCCATAATATATTGTCAGAGTCAAGTAAATCATTATACATATTGATATGCAATATATCATAGTAAATAATTACAAACAAAAAAAATCAACTGTATTTGTAGAAACCTAATAAATCTTACCAGTATTCACACCACTATGCAAACCTCAACCATCGTAGGAACATCTCATGAGGTTCAGCCAAGTTATGATCATGATCTTGTAGTGTCATTCACCATGTGTTAGATCCTTGAAGGTCTCATCAAGTGTTGAATATGACCTTGTATTGTCATTCACCATGTCTTTAGATCCTTGAAGGTCTCATCAAGTGTTGATCATGACCTTGCATTGTCATTCACCATGTCTGTAGGTTATTGAAGGTCTCATCAAGGGTTGAATATGACCTTATATTGTCATTCACCATGTCTTTAGATCCTTGAAGGTCTCATCAAATGTTGATCATGACCTTGCATTGTCATTCACCATGTCTGTAGGTTATTGAAGGTCTCATCAAGTGTTGATCATGACCTTGTATTGTCATTCACCATGTGTGTAGATTATTGAAGGTCTCATCAAGTGTTGATCATGACCTTGCATTGTCATTCACCATGTGTGTAGATTATTGAAGGTCTCATCAAGTGTTGATCATGACCTTGTATTGTCATTCACCATGTCTTTAGATCCTTGAAGGTCTCATCAAATGTTGATCGTGACCTTGTATTGTCATTCACCATGTCTTTAGATCCTTGAAGGTCTTATCAAGGCCAGTATCTCAACCAAAGATGTGGATGCTATCCATGCAGAGTCCAGGAGAGATGCCATCCGTTCCATTGCCAGGTAAGCTCCTTGGAGATCATTCACTTTTCCATCACTTTAAATTAAAATGTAACATTTCAGTAGCTTACAACAATTAATGTATCTTGTTATTGATAAGTTGTTTAATGAAACAGGGCCAAGGTCAAAAGCAACAATTTTGTTTAAAAGTCAGGGTCCATGAGTAAAGAATTATGTTTTGTGGCAATGTAGACAACATTTTAACTTCTTTATCCTCTTTATAGTACCTCCAACGATCTTCTTTTTCTTCATAGGTTATTTAAAACAGTTGACATCAATCCAGCTGGAAACCCCCATGAAGAAGTGTGTGAGTCCAACCTTCCATCCACATACAACTGTTTGCTGCAATCATTGACGGACTATACCACTGACAGCAGGGGTGATGTGGGTGCATGGTAAGTGCAGTACTTTGTTGTCTGAAAGAGTAAAGTAATTTATAGCTGTCATGACCATGTACATGTACAGTTTGGTTGAACAAGAACTAGGTTATGTACTGAAGGTGTATGATAGTTATTATGATGAAAGCCAGTATCAACTCATAGTTTATCAAAGGGTTAATGCTTGCGTGTTTTTCACCAGACAGTTTTATTACAATGAAAAATGAATAGAAATTGCACAACTTGCTTTTTATTTAAGTGTAATTTTCATTTTTTATAATCCAAGCTGTACAACTTTTATGTGGTTTTACAAGAAAGCTTGATGTTCTGGAAGTATTACCTTATATTAGTTACAACTTTGTGTCCATATTTTTATCATGTGCAGTATAGACATCTGCAATTGATCTATATCGCCTGTGCTCGAAATGTTGATATGTTGCCTTGTAGAGTGTGATGATTACGAATGTACTGAATTAAATTGCAGTACAAAAATGAGAGTGTGCTAGTTTCTCCTTTGATCTTCACCAGGGTCCGTGAAGCAGGCATGAAGAGTCTTTATGATGTCACCAGTCTTCTGAGTAAGAATCAACCAACTATGCTCACACCAGATATGTAAGTCTTCACAATTACAGAAATGTTTGAAGTGTGAAGCCTCCCCCTTCCACTCAACTTGAGAAGCACATGTAGCATATCTCTTTTGTGGGTTGGTCATAAATGCCCCTTCCATCAAAAGCTTTTGAAGTTTTTTCTATTGAGGGAACATTTATGTATTCAGCTACTGCCTTCCCTAACTGTTAAACGCATTTTAGTGTTGATGAGATAAACATCCTTTTGATTATAATCTCTGAAATTTAAGATATTTAGAAGCCTGATTAAATGAGGGGAAAAATGCAGAATTATCCCCCCCCCTTGCGTTTTAGTATATCAAAGGCAATCAAAAATCCTTAGCAAATCAACATACATAGTTATGAAATTGCTTTACTATTTTATACACAATTGTATATTCTATATCTGTAGCACTCTGTAACACTATAAACCTTCAGCCTTACAGTGTATGTAAATATTACCAGTTTCTGGACACACCGATGATACTGAACATGACTAAAAAATATACCATTTTAAAATTGTGATTAATCCAGTATAAAAGGAAAATAGTGATTTCCTTGAAGATTTTAGGGAGTAAGTTAGAATATTTGTTACACTGTAGTGAAGCTATAGTATCATGACCATTTCAGCCACTTGATTGTTGATTTTGATGACAGAAAATCTCTATAAAAAAATCTTGAGAAGTTTTATATTCTCTTTTGCCCCCCTCTCTTTGTCTCTTTCTCTCTCTTTCTGTTGCTCTTTTTTTCCTTCTATTTCTCTCTTTAAAAAAATACTCTCTCTTCTCTTCTCTCACTCTCTCTGTGTCTCTCTCCCCTTCTCTCTCTCTCTCTCTCTCCCCTCTCTCTCTCTCTCTCTCCCTCCCCCTCTCTCTCTCTCTCCCTCTCTCTCTCTCTCTCCCTCCCTCCCTCCCTCTCTATCTCACCCTAACTCTCTTGGACCAGAATCTGTAAGGTAGTCCAGTGCCTGGCCCAGCAAGCCTCAGAGAAGATTGACAGGACCAGGCTCTGTGCTGGGGAAGCTTTCCTAGGTCTACTCCACCAGTCCGACCCTGTCATTCCACACATACCTGATAGGGAGGAGCTCATCAAGGTCTTCCCAAAGTAAGTTTAAACCTCATTTGCTGTTTTTGGTAAGCCCATTTTCTTCGATTTTAAATGAATAGATACATAGTAGCGATTTTAGTCTGTCATCTATTCTACTCTTAGGAAGAGTACGCAATAAATGCCAGATGTGTTTACACTGCTCTGTACCTAGCGCCATGAGTGTCCCTGAACGGTGTGTGCGCTCTATATTAAAGTTTACAATATTATTTAATACTCGGCAGCTGCGAAGCTTCTTTTCTCCTTGAGTGGAATGTTAATCACATGAGAGGTAAGACTATAATATATATGCCTGTCATGGCACATAAATTAAGATGACATATTACTCAAGACATGCATGTACTTGAGTAGTATGAGAGAAGAAATGTTATTGAAATCTGATAGGACTACAGTAAATACAATATACTTTTGTATGAATCTTTGCCCATCCCTGTGTTTTTTACCACTTCAGCAGGTTCCGAATTCCGCTTCATTTTTGCTAAAAAATTGTTGTAGGTTTTTTACCAGAGTTCAAGATTGTTGTTTAGTTTTGAGAAGTGGATTCTTCAGTTTCACTCTCATGGCACCTTAGGCAAATAGATTTAGCACTTGGGAATTCTTAGTAGGGAGATTTGATGGGATCATGAGCATCAAAAATTTGCCGTTCGTGCAGGCTAAATATTTGCTTGTCTGTCTTCTATTGCACTCTTACGAAGAGAAGAGTGCAGAGTAAATGCCAGATGCTCTGTTTAACAAAAATTCACGTTAACACTTGTACAGCTGCATGTGATCACATGACATTGACAAAGCAGCATTCAATAGCTTTTGATGGAATCATGAGCATCGAAAGGTTGTTGTATGTGCAGGCTAAATATTGGCTAGTCTGTCATCTATTGTACTCTTAGGAAGAGTACACAGTAAATGCTAGATGTGTGTACTGCTCTGTTTTTTGTAAATTCATGTAATTATATGTACAGCTGCACATGATCTCATGACAATACACCATGTCAACAGGACCATTTGTAAATGCTGATGCAATGCTGATGCAAGATGAAAGATGAAATGGTCGACGAAATGGCAAAAACAAATTTCAATGATGACGTTTAGACATTTGAAGGATTAAAAAACTTAGCTTAAGAACACCTGAATGTAAAAATTTCTTATGACTTTAATGGGAGCGAGAAAATCATAATAACAGATGAGTGGAAGTTACTGTAAAATCCAGTTTATCTAATGATTTTTGTTCATGATATATTATTTCAAATGTATTCGCTAAGGGTCTCCAAAGAATTCTTACAGAAATATGCCTTTGGGGAGAAAAAAATTCATACTTTCTTATTTTTTATCCAATATATATCTAGTTTTCACAGATGTTTCTTTATGGTTCTTCTGTTTTCACTCAGGGTCAAGTCCCTTTTAAGATTGATACAGATTAGACTAACTTTTAATCGGATATGTGAAGAAAATGCACGAGACATTGACTAAGTTTAAATATTTTATGATTTTATTTGAATTTATTTAAACAGGTGTACAGACAAAAGCAATGGATTCATGTATTACATTTTATATATTTCATTTCATTTCATTAATTTATTTCCACTTCAAGATAAAAACAATACTGTGCATCCCCCAAAAAACTATACACTTTTGAAATGGCTGCTGAATAAAAAAAATATGAATCAGGGGGGAAAAGTTTGATATGTATGGAAAGCTCATAAACTAAACTTTCATATGACACCAAAAAGTCTGAAAATAATTCATGCTTGGGTGAGCATTGCTCATTTTTGTAAAGGGTATGAAAATTAGGTTGCGCAGGAATTAGCCTTCCAATTTGTGAGAGGTAAATCCTTTGGAGCTTACAATATTGAGGGTGATTTGCTGAGTGAATTTCATGGTTTATTAAACCAAACTTTTATGCATGAGTGAACAGGAATTGCATTTTTTATTGTAGCATTGTAACTTTCCCTGGTAGACTCAGTACAATGCTACAATAAAAAAATTGTTTTCAATTTAATTAATTTTCCATCTTTAAAAAAAGAACAACTATAACATAGTATTGACACATTGTATTAAAATAACAATATAAACATAAACATGGAGGGATACCCTTAATAAGCAGGTTGCTTGTAGGCAGGGCCCCGGTATACAATATAAAATTTATAACTTTGTTAGAGAAATATCTAAACATTTGAGAAAATTATAAAACAGCAAAATTAAATATAAGGTAGGAAATTGTGATCATCTTAACAGCTACTATAAATAGACAGATACAGGTACACGTCCACACACAGACATACAAACACCCTAGCATACACACACACACACACATAACCAAATGCCGACTGTTAAAGTGACTCGGTAACATTGTTGAAGGTTGATGAAAAAAATTGCTTAATTTTTGTATAAAATGTTACTTACTATATTCCTTGTACTATACTAACCCTCTGACATGCAAAAAATCCTGAACAAATTCTCAAACCACAAAGATATCTATGGTTTTCTCTGAAGGCGTCGATGTGAGGCACCCTCTAACAGTGATTAACAGTAAATTCTCCCAACCATTTTTGAATTTTCCCAACCGTTTTTCCATGACAAAAATACATAAAACAGGCTATAAAAATCTGTCAACACTTAACTGGCTGGAGTGGAATGTAGAGCCATTTTATTGCTTTGTGACGATTTACATTCACCTAAAATGTAATTAAATTGTCCTTGTCTTTATGCTGAACAGGCTTTGACAAGTAGCAGAATAGAAGTAGAATAATATAGTTGGGAGAATTAAGGAATCGATAAGATCAGTTTTTCCCAATTTGTACCATGAATAATGATCCGTTTTCACTCAAATTTTCAGATTATCTTTAATTTTACATCTAGCATTGAAGTCACTACCTTAGCACCACTATCTCTCATCTGAACAATGTTACAAAGTCCCTTTAAGAGAAGATAAGATAGATGAGATAGAGTAAAATATCATAGGGAAGGAATACATAGAGAGAAAGAGAAAGAGATAGAGGGAGAGAGAGAGGCGGGGGGGGGGGGGGGGAGTCGGTATTACAGAAGAAAATGATTAGAATGAGTAGGCATCGTAGAGAAATTAATTCAGATGGTGAAAAGAAAAGAGAAAGAGAAAAATGTAGGACTGGAGAGAGCTCAAGAAATAGGAGAAGAAAATTCGAATTAATTAATACATTTTATATATCTACTTAGCACGTATTAATATTGGTGAGATATAATCTTTTAATAGAAAATTTGAATTTTGAAAGAGTTGAGCTTTGCTGAATAATGCAAGTATAATGATAGAAATAATGGCTTCTTGTATACAAGCATATCATACCCATTTACACCTGGGTGAAGAGTGGGAAATGTAGATCACACAAGTGCCGGGCTGGGTTTCAAATCCAGTACCTTGTGATTTGCAGTCAGGGGACTTATCCTCTAATACAACACCTCTACATTTATGATGCACAAGCTATAATGGTACTAACATAATACATGTACATTATTTTTTAGACGATGAAAAACAGCCTCATATAATTCTTTTCGAGATTCCAATAAGAAAACAGATAATATAATAATTAGAAAAATGCTGCTGAAGGTAATTCAAAGTTTTGGGAAAATTGGATGGATAGTAGTTCTTAAAATCATGATATATTTGGATGCCCCTGTTGATGTATTATAAGCACTAGAAAATTTAGCCCCTAAAACACCATTGCTTTCAATCAAATTGAAATCAAAATTTGCTGGCCCTCCCAGTAAATTTCAAATATTTCAAATAGCGCCTAAGGCCATTCCATGGTACCTGTGACTATGAAAATCTTGGAATATGCAGTTCTGATATATAATTTCCAAACGGGAATAGCAAATCGATCGATTGTAGTCAAGAAACATTGTTTTAAAGCAAAAGTAATATCAGTCTTGAGAGGGAGCTATAGAACATAAAGAGTTTAATTATTTACAATTTCAGCATTAAAGACTCGATTTCAACCGCGACAAAGATCATTGAATATTGTAAAATCGCGTATATATGCTTCCAATTTCAATTGAACCAAATTCATGACCCCATACCAAAACTTTCTATTACCTTTAATATTTGTTTAGGCGCCAAATCTACAATTACGATACCTCTTAATCATTTATAGTAAAGAAGAAAGACGCATTTGATTTAGATCTACCAGGAGGTTTAGAGTTGATTTTCCCTTCAAATGTCTTATAAGTTATGATGGGAAGGTTGGACTAATGATTGGTATTTCCTCAGATAACGTTTTGTGTTTGAAAATCTTGAGCTGCAAATTCCTGGAAGGGCTGATGACAATATGGTACATGTGGTTCTTGATTCAAAGTCTCCGTTTCTAATTCTTGAGCATCATCACTATAGCACTTTATTGATAATGAAGGACCGTATGACTCATCATTACTATTGTTATTGCATTTCTGCCTCCACTTATAGAGCAAAATTGCATTCAATATAATAAGTATGACCACACAAGTTGCCATACCGGTAATAGAAGATATAAGTATTGTTTTCAACGTATCTTTTGTCATTTCGTTGGCATTCTTGTATGTCGTGTTTGATGATAGGGGATAGTTGGAAGAGTTAAAAGACTGACTTTTCTTGACCATATCTGAGGTTCTGTAAGTAGAAGTTGTTGATGTTTTTGTTGATATGGGTGGACATGGTTCACTGCTAATGGTACCATCTACATGTAGATACAATGCAGTATCATTACATTCACATCTTTCTTTGTATTCATCCAAAGTAGAAGAACAACAAAATGCTGGCTGTGATTTTCTGATAAGAATGGTCTGTTTCAATAATCTATCAGTTTCAATGGTGTCAGTTAGGTGTGGCATCCATAAACCATCCTGATAGCATTCAATCTTTCCTGATAGACTCCCAACATTAGCTGTACAGTCTATCGAAACCCAGTCTCCTCCCTTACCATAACTCAAAACACATGATGCCTCACCAGGAGGATAATCAACCTGTAGCCAAACTCTGGTTGTGTATTCATCACGTAGTAGTCCGTCCTTGTAGATAGTCGAAAGATATGTACCTACATCACTTTTCATGAGATTACTTATTGTAAGATCCAGAGAACAGTTTCCATTTTTTATTCTGTTTTGCACTTTGAATCTATGGACCTGATCATCAGGCAATGACAGTGATGACCCAACTGTAGAGCGATAAAATGGGACTCCGTTCGAATGCTGTAATGTGACTTCTGTACTGTCACATGGGTATGGGAAATGTAAGGTTGCTTCTTGCCCCTGCATTAAGTATACTGCCTTACCGGTAACTTGGTATCCATTTAAAAGAAGTATTGTAAATGAAAGGATGAGTTTTGCCAGAGTGCATTTTGATTTAAATACAACCTTTTCCCAAAAATTTAACATGGTTATTTGTGATTACTAGTAAATACAGATTCCTTAGTTTACAAACAAAAAGTTAAAAATAAATATGTAGAATGAAAAAAGGTGATTGACAGAACTGGTTTCGTAAAAATATTGAAGTTGATATGACAATCCTCAAGATGACAACCTCCACGTGATCCAACCTGTTTCGAGTAATGTCATCAAAGCAATGTTTGCAGCACCTTAGTACTCTACAAGATTGAAGACCATGTCCATCATAGATATGTCCACAGATGTCCACAGATGACCGCAGGTGTGACTTGGTTGACTGCTGTTACAATGTCACCAACTGGAGAAACGTAGTACATGACAAATCCCTTTCCAGGAAAAGAATCTTGGCCAAGATTACTGGATTTTGACATAGGCATTCAATGAATATATACCTGTATGATAAGTTGATTTATCACAAAGCAGGTATGTTCCATATTTTCTGATCAGTTCACAAAATTCACTGCATCTCAAAATTTGACTATTGTGTTCACTGGAGTAGCATATTCACTTATTTTCTGTTGGTTTTATCTTTCATTGGAACCATCATATTCCACAAAACTGGATCTATTTAGCTTTGTGGATTCTCCATTTCAGCTCCAAATCCAAGATGTAACTCTGAAACTCCTTCCTGGGAGAACTACACATTTACAGATGACCCTGGCAAAAAAAGTAAAAACATAATAAAAATCAGAAATATTTGCAAACATTGGGAGTGAGTGGTTCATATTTTTACATTATGTATGTTATAATTGAGTCACAGTAATAACTTTTTTGCAAATTGCTAAGTTGTCTTGCTTTGAAGTGGCTGTCATCGATTTGCAGGAATGTACAGCAAGGAATTTTTTTTGCCCATTTTCCATTTGGTATTTAAAAAGTTCATTCTAGTCTCAAGAGATGGGATTTGCTTCTTATATATTAAAGTAGAAGTGTCGTAGCCGAGTGGTTTAAGGCTTTAAAATTGACTCAAAATTGTCGTGAGTTTGATACACAGCACTAATGTCCTTTGGCAAGGCATTAATCTACATTTGCCACTCAATACCCAAGAGAAAAATGGGGACCTGGCAGGATGAAGAAAGCCTTTGTGTTAATAATTGCCTATGCCCTCACGGCAACCATATGATAGGAATACTCCCCAGGGAGTGGAGATGGTGCACAATGTGTGTGAATGAATCCGATGACCGGGTTAATGATATCTGTAAAGCTCTTAAAGACGATATTCTATATTAAGCGCTATATAAATCCAGATTATTATTATTATAAGGCAACTGTACTTACCTTGTATGTTAATAAGGAAGTGGAGTCAAACAGCTTTGGATGTGGTAAATAATCCCTTATGCCAAGCTCCATGTACATTAGTTGTCCAATTGAGTACTGTTACTTCTACTTCGGGAGATGTGCTTTTGATGATGTGTTCATGAGCTTACATGGAGATTTGATTGTTAGGTTAAAAAGATAGAAAAAGGGAATAATATTGGAAAGCTACCCAATCACACAACTGCATGTGGGAAGCACAAGTACCAAATATTAGCCTAACTATTCAAACATACTGGCAAACATACGGTACATGAAGAAAAGATGGACGTCGCCCTTTGCATGCTGAATTTTGGCGCCATAAAAAATATTCATTATTACTATTATAAGTAGTGAAAGTAGTGGGGTTTAAATATTTTTCATTATTACTGTAGATAATCTCATCAAGATAATCTGAATCAGGTATCTTTGTAAAGAAACCACTTGAAAGACACGTTCCGCCCATTGTACCCTCACTATTGACCTATTGACATCAAAGTCTGAGATACTTGAGACGACACGTCCATGGAAAATGTACAGCATACTAAAATCAACACACCTTCAATCAGCTGAAAGTAAATACCCAACCTCTTGTAGCAAACATTCTTGGTTTTTAAAATCCAGAACAAGACATCAATATTACTTTCTAGTAAAGGGAGTCTCCCAGGAGAATGATAGATGATCATTTGGAAGTAAACATGTTATTGGGTTCAAGTTAAATTTGAATGTGGGTTACCTGTAGAAGAGGATTTGTAGATATTTACACTGAAATTATATTTGCTCCTTGTGTTCAAACAAAGCTTGGAGGAGGATCGAGAATACACTCATGTGAACAATAGGTCATGCTTTCAAGCCTTAATCACGTTATATAGAAATCTTTTGAAATTTTGTCTTTATTTATGAACTGTATCGAGCTTTATATAGTCCATGTTACTATTAGAATCATCATAATTTGAATTGTGTGTGTGGGTGCGTGTATGTGTATGTGAGAGAGGGGGTAGGCGGGGGAGCGAAGATGATAATTTGCCTTCATTCTCCTCACAGAATTTTTTGTGTAATAGTAGGTGTCCTTCAAGGGTTTGGATGACATGGTTTGATCAAAGGCCTCTCAGATTCCATACATGAAGACTCCCCCTTTGATACCCTGTTTTCTCCTTATCGTAGTACTTAGTGTCTTTTTTTTCAATTTCAAAAAAAGTGATTTGAGTACTATATGTTTTGTCCTATTGCTGGCTTTCCTCGATAGGAAGGTATGGGTTTAAGTTATGTCCATTAACTGCTGTCATTCTTGATGATATGTGAAATGTTTGCTCAGTTAAATGAATGAAACCCCCATAAAGGGAATAGTTTGAGTGACCCTAATAAAACATTTCACTTTGTAAACATCTTCATTCATATGAGTCGAACTACCTTTGAAAAAAGATCTATATTGCAACAATTTGTAAATATATGCACCAGAAACTCAGCATACATCCAATATTATTTCCAAAGAAGGATGAGATACATTGGTACCTTCGTAGTCATCTCTCTCTATCGTGTACCAGTGTCAATTTTCAAAGTGTACCTGTCTTGATCACATCTCATCAGATATTTTTGAATTTAAAGTTGAGGGAGCTATACAAGTGCCAAACCTATTCAGGCACACTGTCACCGATAATCATTTCAGTGTGTATTTTTTGTTTGTTTAGGGAAGACATCAAGGGACTGAACTGGGCAGCGCCCTCTGACTGTTTTGCCAAGGTGACTCAGCTCCTCAAACTACCAACCTTCCAGTACCATGTTCTTCTGGGTTTGACTGTGAGTGTGGGAGGCCTAACAGAGTCACTGGTAAGCTGAACACTTGTTTTGATGTTAAAAGTGTGTATTGATTGTTGAAATGTTGCACGTACACATACTGTGCATGTTTGGTTTAAGATCAATACGTCTGGGTGATGTTTGCTAATATGTCTCCTTTTTTGGCTCCTTTTACCTGTATGTCTTCCTCCATCTGTCTTCTTTATTTGTTACCTTATTCTGTCTCTGTTTATCTCTCGCACTTCATCTCGTTCATCTGCCTTTTAAAAATATGTTTACTTGTCTGGGTTTTTTTTTCTCTCCTTCATTTCTTTCTCTCTCTCTCTCTCTCTCTCTTTCTCTCATGATAGTCTGTCTATCACTTCCTTCCCATCATGCTTTTTGTTCGCCTCTATTTTTCTCTACTCTTTTGCTCTCACACTCACTTTTTATCGTTTGTCTCGCGTTCATTACTCTGTCTCTGTACACCCATCTCTCTAAATCTATCTGTGCATACTCATTAAGAATATTATGTGATATTTTATTTTCACTTCTATGTTTCATGTGTGTAGAAGAAGTATCCTGCCTGATCTTATCTGTCCTTTATCATTACCCGTAAATGTCCATGTATAAGACACACCCATACTTTGGGGGCAATTTTTTTTTGCTGACTCCGTAGGCAGCAAGCTAGAACAACCTTTATTTTACTGCGAGGTGCAGTTGAAGGCGCCGATTTGTTCTTGTGAACTTGTCACAAATAATAGTAACAATGTCATTTCAAAACTAAAGATGACAGAAAAATTTTCCTCTCTAAGTCCCAACAGAAATCCGGCCATACAGGTAGTGTTGTTGTTGTTCGATCCTACAGTTCGATGCTGTGCCATCACTATAACCCAGGTGACAAATAGTGACAGTACATTCCTGTTGCAACTTTGTAACTTGGATTACATATTTTATAATCTAGAACAGTTTTACTCTGCCACTTCAAATAACTTCCTACAGTATCTTACTGTGACTGTATTGGTGCGAGTGGTGAGTCAACACACTTTGTATGACTGAGCTGGGAGACATTGCCAGGCACAGTTCAGGTGGAGGGGGCATAAATCGATACTTGTTTTTGTTTTTTGTTTTTGTGTATAAGACGCACCCCAGCGTCTTATACATGGAGATTTACGGTATGTGCAGTTTAGCTGATGACTTGACTAAATTCACTGATAACCTACTCAAGAACTTTACCGGCTTTCTTACCATCTATCCCTCTGTCAGTCTATTCACCCCCCCTCCTCTCTTTCTCTCCCTTCTCTCTTTCTCTCCCTTCTCTCTTTCTCTCTTTCTCTCTCTCTCCTCTTCACTCTCTCTCTCCCCTTTACTCTCTACCTCAAATATGATTTTCTGTAATGTTTTGGTTTCATGTTTTGGTTAAGAAGAAGCACTCTACCCAATCCCTTCTATCCTTCTTCAGGACGTGCAGCTCAACTGAAGACCTTACTAGATCCACTGAAAACTTCAAGATTATCACTGACTTCTCTCTATCACTCTATCCCCCTCCCCTCTCTCCTTCCCCTCTCTCCTTCATTCTCTACCTTAATTATATCCCACCTGTTTGTGTAATGTCTCAATTCTTATATTTTTTTGTTTAGGTCAAGCACTCTGCCCAGTCTCTTCTGTCCTTTATCAAGACATGCAGCTCAACTGAAGACCTGACTAGATTCACCGACAACCTACTCAAGATATTCACTGACTATCAGAAAGTGGACAGGTGAGTGGACCAGATTTAAGCCCTGTTTCATAAAACTGGCTATCAATAACAACTGCAAAATTTCTAAGACAAATTTGCTCTCAGTCAATCAAATGCAACAATTTTAGTAGCTTACAACAGTCATTGTAACCTGTTATTGATAACAGGTTTTATGAAACGGACAGGTTCGAGCCCTGGCACAGCACTACTGTCCTTTGACAATACATTGATCTATATTTGCCACTCTTCAGTGACATGTTGAAATTGCTTAGTTAGCTGGAAGTGCCTTCTTGATTAAGAAGTAGGAATGTGTATTTTGTACATCTATTGATGTTGAAAATGATGGTTAAGACAATGGGCATTCACATGAATCTTTTAAGTTAATTTCATTGCTCATATTGCCATCCAATTACTATTCAATACAGAATCATGCACCATTTGCATTTTACAACTATTTATTTGTTGAAAATGTTTTCACAGAGTTTCTGTACCGTTGATGAAGATGATCAACCTCCTGCTATCCAGTGGAAGCTTTGAAACCTTCGTGGAGGACCCTAGGTAAGGATATATACATGTAGAGCTAGCTTATCTGTAGAGTCGGTGTGGTCTAGTGGTTAGGTCACTGATGCTGATCAGTGAAGTTTAGGTGTCATGCTGGAGTTGCTGATTGGCCACCATAGTTTCTTGTATTGTCCACTAAACATTCATTTTCTGAATTAATACTGCACCCCAAATATGCATGTACATGTTAATGGTTTGCAATGATAAGACAGTCAGTGGTATTCTAATATCTTGTATTTACAAGCATATCTGCTATATGATGTCTTAGAGAAAGGAAACAAGAGATTTTACAGATGACAACTTTAGTACGGAAAACACTAGACCTCTCCTAGAAATTTGTGTAGCATATAATGTAGTAAAGGTGGTTGATCGTTTGGGCATTCAGATGATATAGATGGTTTGTTCGTAATTATTATTAGGATTATTACCATTATTATTATAGTTATTAACTATTGTCAATATTGTTGTTGTTGCTATTATGATCAATACTATCTCACTATCTTTCTCCAGTCATTCGTTTCCACTGAACCTCCTGCAACTGGTAAAGAAGGAGGTTGCCAAGACAGGCGATGCCCAAAAGCTTCTCACAAGCATAGAAGTGTGAGTCACATCACTGATAATTTGATATATTTTTGTTCCTTTTTCTTGCATTATGATACTAGTAATCAATGAGTGAACATGAAATGTATAATACCAAATTTTAAAATAAATTGTCACTAAAATCATACATTTCAGTAGGGAAATTGTTTACCAGTTTTTGCTGTCCCTTTGATTAACATGTTTTTAAAAATAATCACAATCCAGTAGTATTGTCATTGCAACTTACACACTAAAATTCTTTGATTTTAAATTAATAGTATCGGACCCATAGCACACCCCTGTGGAACACCTCCATGTGCATTAAGCCCACAAATGCCCATCATGGACTTCTGATAGATTGAAAGTACTATTTTAAACAACTAGTTTTTATTCATTTCAGGTTCTGTGGTATGATTCAGTTTGTTGGTGAACCTAGGAAGAAGAGCCTTATTCAACTCATGGTATTCCTCTGTCATAAGTACCCAAAGGTAATCACATCTTCAAAATTCTCGCGACCGCATATAGCAATATACATTCCCATAAAGCATTGTGCCTCTGGTACATCTGCAATTTTGCTGCAACACAAGCGGCTTATTTTCCCAAGCCGTGATTGTGTGGTTGTCAGTAATTACAGCGGGGTCACTTTTTTGAAGACACCAAAGGTCTACATATTTAATAAATTTACATCATAGAGATTTAGGCAAAACTACATTTTGTCATTCTTAGTCATATTGACAACGAAATGTGAGTCCAATACTGTGTGGCCTTATTTGGAAGTTCTTGTGACTACAACATCTTGGCAAATTTGCCAGTAAAAATAGAGTGCCACTTTTGTTTGCTTGTTTCCAGCTATATGGGGTAGGGAGAATTATAACTTGCATAGTAAAATATTATCTGGTTCGATAAAATAATGGATTCCTTGTGTGTGTTGTATTGAGTTCATTAAATAAGTGGGTGCATGTGTATCAAATAATAGTCTTCTCCTGCCTTGCAAGATTACTGATAGTGACCCATGGTTTAATACTGAAAAAGTGATATTTTTTAAAACCTAAATTGCACCGAGCAATCCTTTTGATTTGCTTTTGAATCTGAAGAGAGTTTAAACAATGTTTTTTTTCTTTATTCTACTCATTTGTATATTTTAAAATGTAAGCGATTTTCATTGAAAGCTTAGATTTATATTGGATAGATTTACACACAATTTACACACTAACAGATGATTACCAGTATTTACCATTATGTGCAGTTTGTACATTTTAGCAATGTTGGTTACATTTTCACACAATTCAAACATTTTCTTTCTACTGTGCTGTAGATATTTAATACAGTCACACCTGTCTATTAAGGCCACCCAAGGGAAACACAGAAATTGATCATTCTAGACAGGTGGCCTTTGTTGACAGGTTCTACAACACATTTCTCCTCCTAGAGGGAGGCAATATGAGTGACCACTATAACCCTGTGGCTTTTTTTAGAGAGTTGCCACTAATTAAGACAGGTCAGACTGTAGAACCTTTACCCTTGTATGAACCCAGATGAAATGTCCAGCTTTCTCATTCCTACGTTCCTAGATAAGAGGGACCACTGCTAACACACTCTATGAGACGTTGATGGTCTATGATGACATCGTGGACGAGGAGAAGCAGGAGGAGGTCATGACAATACTCATGGAAACAAACTGGTCAGTATCAATTCAGGAGTCCACTCCAGTGTCTATTCCACTGTATGAAAGCCCCACTGCCCTAGTTTGGCCAGGAGGGATTAGACCTCCCTGCATGGTAACTGACTGGTGGTTATCTCATCAAATCAGCTCTCAATTAACATAAGAAAAAAGGATCATGGGGTACCAATGGTCACCAATTAGGCATGTTTGCTATATAGAGGACAAAAGTAGCTATATGTAGTGCAGTGGGGCTTTAAGGATCAAGTGTGTCAGTAACATACTGTTAGGGAGGCTATAATGGATGGATGGGTTAAATGAGAAAAACACTTATGTCAGAAGTTTATTGGAACCAGACTCGCTTCATTACTCGATATGAGCATTTGAAAAGCCCCTGTCCTCTTTGATAATTAGTCATGATGTTGTGGGCTTTAATCCCAGCAATTTTAACTTTTGTAGACAAGCAGAAGTTCATCTACTTTTTCAAAGCCTCTAATTTATCCACAAATCTCTCTCACTGTGAAAGAGAGTGCTTGCTTGCAAATTATTCATTATAATCAGTCTTGAACTAGTGGGATTTATCATTTATAGATATATTTGATCTACAGTGTCTCTACTTATCTAAGACTGGTGTGCTTTATCTTACACTTCAGCTACACAAGGCAATGTTAATGGTGGTATGTTGATTTGATTACTATATTACCTGTATACTGCCTGTCAGATGTGAATAGAGGACATACCACATCAAAAGCATTATTCACTTTTGTGAACCTTTCTGTCTTTATTCCATGTATTGAAAGTATACTTTTTGTGTGTTTTGTTCCCAACAGGCAAGAATCGCAGGCCAAATGTAGACCAGTCAGGAACCACATCTGTGACCTGCTGGAAGTGCCCCAACCTGTTCTGAAGGTACGCTTTACATGCCTTGAGAATGAAAGACTTCTTAACCAAATAAACAGAATAAAGTTAACCGATAAAATTAACCGATAATTTGGTCGCATTTAGGGGGAAAGATGTCAAGCTTCTGATTTGTCTCATTTAATTTTAAGGCATATCCACAATTATTTGTCCAAAAAAAAAAAATTGTTTTGGGCTTTTCCTGATACCAATCTATTCTTATTCATGCTCTCTATGAAAATCATTTGTAAACGAGGAATTATATCAATTAGAAGAAAAATATACTAGAACATTTAATTAATACCAATAAAAAAAAAAATGATATGAATGTTTTAATGATATAAACATAATAACAAAAACAATTCTGAGATTTTGTTTTTGGAACATTACTAGTACATTTTGGTAATTATTGGTTTATTATAATCTTTGTTGATGTCACATAATCTCACTTATAATTGTTATCATACTACTTGTAGTATTATTGTTAGTGCTATAAGTATTCCTTAATTTTTTTATTTTCTTGATTATTTTTCTGTTATCACAGAACCCTCAGGCTGGTAAAGCTAAGAAGCAAGAGGATGCTAATGACCAGATGGACAGTTATCAAGGTACTTGGTTCATTTAGTTTCAAACGTTCTTTATTTCAATTAATCTGTGTATTGTTTCATGCTTAAAAAAATGCTGTACAAAGTAATTTGTTCCTACCGCTAATATGAAGTTCAACAGCAGATGGTGACCTTCCTCCTACACTGCGCAGGTCAGCGTATGAGCAGATACGATTCTGGGGAAGATGACGAGGGAAGGTTTCTTCCGGCTTCCATAGAGAATGTACAGCAGTGTCAACTAATTCCTTATAATACTAAATTAGTGTTCAGGTATCATGAACTCCCCCGATGATTTGACGAGATCTATATGTACGCACCGTCATAATATATTACCTATAGCTTGTTGGTTCTGAAACTATAATTTCTATCAGACTTTCAAGTTCTCGACCCTCTGTATTTGTATGAAAATCGGAAGTGCCTTTGCCAAAAAAATTTGTTTGTATTTGTTTTTGTTTTGTTAAAGTATTTATTAAAGCAATTCTCATACATAATAATGAGACGTTTGTATAGACAAAGAAACAAAATTACTTAACTAAATATCTGCCATTTCTTATCGTGGAGATCGAGACAATATTTTGTGAAAGCAATTTGCTGAATATACCCATGGCCGGTGCTGCCCTCTATGGCCAAATACTGTAGTTGCGGTAGCGAGAATTGGGGTGTACAATGTAATCATTACTTGCAAGCGTTGTATGGGAATGGGTTAAACAATGATAATTGGTAACATGTTTGATATTGTTACTCATTCTTTTTTTTCTTCTTTTTTTATCTTGCAGATCTTGTGTCAAGATTGGGATACTGAGGAGCAGAATATCTTCTACTGATTCCCATTCGTGCTGATGAGTCATCAGAATATAATTACAATTTTTCCTGTATTTAAAATATAGGAAATATGTAAATGAGAAAAGTATTCTTGCATTTATGTAGAGTTAAATGAGCAATTTAATGCACTGAAATCTAATTGCAATGTGGCTAATATGAAAGTTTTCATATGACCTGCCCAATCTTTTATGATTAAATGAAGAAAAAATCCTATGAAAGCTAGATGACTTGTAGTGGAAGTCATCCGGTAGACAAATAGTCCATGAGACTGATGGAAACCAAGAGCCTGTGAGATTTACAATGTCGGTTTTATGAGCTTTCCAACATGTTGTCAGGTCTTTAAAACCTACCTGTTGATGTAGTGGACTATTGATTTCTAGACTGTCGGTTTTGTGGGATGTGGCCGTGGAAGCAATTTACCAGAAACAAATCAAATGTAACCGTGTCATTAGGAATAACATGTCTTTATCTTTGTCATTGTTCCAGTATTTCAAAATCTTTGTAATTATATATTGCAAGGCATTATGGTGCATTCATTTTGACAATGTAACCCAGGCCTAACCCAGGACACGTATTTTTTATTTACACGGCAGCGAGGGGAAAAAGCTCGATTAATTCCAATGAAACCGCTCGCGGGGAGTCTAGTCTGTAGTGCGTGTACAGTGATGATGTACTAAATATGACTTGTGTTGTTGTCGATGGTACTGTGTGTTGTTGGTACTTGGCCAAGGACATCGCATGTTGACGGTGTCACATATAATATAATATCATACTGCCGTCTCTGTTTATTTTTTCTATCAATTTTGTTTTCTTGTTTTCATTTTGATGTCTTTCTTCGTTTCCTTCTCTAGATCTAGAGGTCTACATGTTAAGTACAATTCCCTTTATAATACATTGCACTGCACTGCCGTACTCCGTGTGTGTGTGTGTCTTGGGTTTTTACAGACGTGTATCAATCCGATTCAGTCTAGTGTAGACTCTTCGCGAGTGGTTTCATTGGAATTAATCGAGAAATTCCCCTCGCTGCCGTGTAAATAAAAAATACGCACCTGGGACAGATAATTTGGTCTGATGCAAGTGAGTTCAGTTTAAATAGTCAGTCTTGTGCAAAATTCGTCCTGGTATTTGGCAGTGTACATGTATGTGCATGTCTCTTGGTGTAACAGTGGATTAAATGACGGGACAACATTCCATACAAGTTCAAAAGATAAGTTTTCTGGCGATCATTCTGCTGTATTTTTATTTGTATGTAATAAACTGTTATGGGCCATTTCGTTGAATCTTTTCTTCTCTGTATCATGTATGAATTGCTGAAATGTTATGCAGATCAAGTCCATATAAATGTACAAGCATGAATTGGATTAGCATTTTAGGTGAACCATGACAGTTTTGGACTTCAGATTTCATGCAATTAAATAAAAAATTATCAATATTAAATATTAAAAAGTAGACACTTTCAAGGAAATTTGTGCCTACTGTTTTTTGGAAGAACCAGGATTTGGAAATGGGAGGTGTCTGCAAAATCTTTCTCTGCATTCCAAGACCCTTAGCCAAAATACAAGGGCATACAGGTGGAAAAACACATGTGCATAAAAAACAACTTACACTGTCCATGTTTTGTTCCTTCTATATATGAAATTGCCTTCAAATGACTGTTTCTTTGTTTTGCTGTGTGTGATGTACAGATATAATTCCCTTGGAACTAATGTATACAGTTTACAAATAAACATGCTTGTGATTTGTATTCTTTCTAAAGCTTTGTTCTAAATGTACATAATTCTTTATCAAATTTATATTTATTTGATGTAAAAAGTTTCTATCAAACTATTTGTACATGCTTAATTTTCCATGCTTGAAGTTTTCTCTTTTTCATATATTGTGTTTGTTTTGATAGCCCATGCAGTGTAGATGTAGGTTATATTTTGTAACTCGTCTGCTCTAATCCACTGATAAGTTGACACAATTATAAAGTTCTTTGTTCATTGTATGCAAGTAGAGATTAAACACCTGTAATGGTATTGTTTTCAGGCTAATAATAACAACTGATAATGATAGGGACAACAATCCTTCTCTAGCAATAATAGCCTTACCATGTGAGAACTGAGAAATCTTTTTCTCCTTGTGTGCTCCATTGTTGGATTTTCATTCTTATTGTTATTTTGAATCAGGATTCACATTCTGGATTTGATCATTCCTCTGTTTGCTTTATGTAACATACAATATTAATTTTCTTAAGAAAAGATCTTTGTAAAAGCATAAAACAACTTTTTTGATTGCATTCTAATAGACAGGCAGTATAGATAATGTGGCCCAGTGATTTAATTTAAAATGATGATTACTTAAACATAGCCTTACCTGTTGGACAATATACGTATTGTTAAAAAAGGGCTGAAATATTAAATGACAAAAGTGAAGAGAACATAATTTCTCACATGTAATAAATCAAACCTGAATCTTAATTGCTTTGTGAAACTTTATTTAATTTGAAGTCAAGGCCAGAATCTGGCTCAGTCTTTAGTGGAATGTGGACCTTAAAGTGTACCAATCACCATAAAATTGTTTTGTATGTTAAGAGTTCCGTGTAGTAATATTATATTCAAAATATGAACTTCAAATAGTTTCTTTTTGTAAAGAGATTTTGCATGTTAAAATGCACTCTCAATTAACATAAAAGTGACTTGTGAGTAGGCTATTCAACACACCTCTAATTGCTCCCTTAAAATCGGGCTTGCATGAAACCCCATCAATCAATGTCAAATTCTTCCACTGTCTCAACCAACTCTATGCTTCTGGATAGTCCTGTGGTAATTCATCTTCAGGCTGCCTTTGATTCTGGAGACAATCTTTCGCTAGGTGTATCGCTCCTTTCTCTTTCTTTCATTATTTTGGCTAGCTCCTCCAGAGGAACCCGGAGAATGACCAGCTGTAGGCCTGAACATCAGCCTCTCATATCCTCCAGATATACTAATATATAAACCAAGTAGAAGATAACCGTGCTGTCTGAGTTAGGTCTCCAAAGACGAGTTCCATGAAACATTGAAATGTGCTTGGGCTATTATTGAGTCGTTTTGGCATACGTAGAATTCAAAAAGTCCCAATGATATTCTGAATGTGGTCTTCTCAATTCCCGTCTTGGAATATATTGGAAATTGGAAATACCCATTTGCCAAATCTAGGGATCAGAAATACCTTGCTCATCTTAAAGTAAAAATTTCTAAAGTCTCTTCTTTACTTGGTAGTCGGAAGGAGTCTTGGATTGTCCTGGCAGTAATTTGCCTGTTGTCAATACAGATTCAAAGAGAACCATCCTTCTTCTCCACTGGGACAAGCGGACTTGTCTTTTCTTCTCTGGGGCCTGAGCAGGTGATATGCCTTTGTAGGGCAGACGCATGGGTAGCCCCTCTGTCGTACGAATGTCATGAGGTATGACATCACAAATTCCAAGATCTATGTCTGTCTTAAATAGGAAATGTGTATGTGTATGTTTTACGTATGTTATTTTAGGGGAAAAAACCCCTTTTGAGATTTTAAAAAAAAAAAAAAAAAATTACCAATGGCTTACCTCCCCCCCCCCCCCCCCAACTGTACAAAATGTCAAATTTTCAAATTTCGAGACAAAAAAAAAAACAGAAAAAAGTATCCTCTTACCCCCCCCCCCCCCCCTCGTTTTTTCACCGGCTGGCTGAGTCGTTGCGATTATTTTGGGACTCAAAAAAAAAAAATTGGGCCCGATTTGAACCCCCCCTCCCCCCCCCCCCCCCCCCCCCCCTTGTAAAAATCCTGCGTACGCCACTCATGGTCATGCGTGATATCACTTGGTAAGTATAATTTCTTTCCTTCTCTGCAGATATATTCCTCTCCTGATTCTCCTCCGTTGACTTATTAGAATCACACGTTTCAGATAGCTCCCTAGTTTATCCCAGATCCTGCTGCTACATAATGCTAGCATAATCTTGGCAATACCGTCCTTTTCATTTACAATAATCTTCTATCTTACTTCAGTGGCCGAGTCCAGCACAGTGCCCTGTGAAATCCTGTTGACCACAGTGACGTGTAACTATAGTCTTCAGTGACTCTCCTTGACTCGCCACACACCATACACACACCATATTCATTCTAACCGTATTCAGCATAATATACAAATTATTTTTTAGGTGATTGGTACATTTTTAAGTGTGAGAAAGAAGAACCAATGTTCAATTTACAATGGGAGTTATTTTCATGTGTGTATTTCCTCAAAGCACTGACGAGAAACGGAAATCTTTGGTGTCATATTAACAAGTTAATTTTTCTAGTCAGTAATGTGTGCCATGTGACTGTAAATTTAAAGTGCAGCCTTGTCGCTCCACTGCCATTTTTTGTAATGTTAAAGAGCATATTTGTACATATTAAATGTGAGCAAAAGCTGTGTAAAATGTTATTAATATTTTATGTATTGAATTGAAAACATATTATATGATTGCATATTCCAGCCAATGAATAAGATTGCAAGCCATTCGTTTTTCCAAGATGCAGAAAATTGATGAGGTGACATGAGAGGGATATGGGGATACATTCCTCAAGTGGAATGTTAATCAAATGAGAGGTAAGAATCTATATGCCTGACATGGCATCTAAATATCAATGACCTACAACCAGTTCTACTTATGTACGTATATGCAACATTTACTTGAGTATTATGCAGTGAGAAATATTATTAAAATCTGATAGGACTACAGGAAATACAAGAAGCTGTTATACAGATGTTTGTGCATCCATGTGTACTTTGTACCACTTCAGCAGATTCAGAAATCGTTTTAATTTTTTTGCTTAAAAATACTGTTTTTTTTAATTTTAAAATACCAGAGTTGAAGATTGCTTTAATAAAGCGTTGAGATGATTGATTAGACCATGAGCATTAAAAGGAGGTTGTTTGTGCAGGCTAAATTTTGTCTAATCTGTCATCTATTGTACTCTTGGGAACAGTAATCAGTAAACGCCAGATGTGTTTATAGGCTCTGTACTTTGAAATCCATGTTAGTAAGTATATGCACGTGATCGCATGTCAATACAGCATGTCGAAGAGTACCATGTGTAAATAGTGGCGTAATGAGCAAAAAGAAAATTGGGGTCAGAACAAAATCCGCGTCACTACTAAGTAGAATACCGGTAATGCAGGGGCTGCGGAGTGTCTTCTCAAATAGGGGGGGGGGCACCAACAAAAAAGAGCACTTTCTTTAAAAAGAAAAAGGGGCACCTTCAAAGGGAAACATAAAAAACATACATCATTATACATTGGTATATACCCCTACATCGTGATTGTGATTACACTACCACGGATGACCGGATGACATCAATATTAGTTTCTTTCCTTTACGTGGTACAAGATATTGCTTAAATATAAAGCACTATACTTTGCAGTTGGATGTGATGTTCTGTATATTAATTTTCGAGTGGGCGAAGCGAGCGAGCAAAAATGTTACCATTTGTGCGGTCCCAGTGCAAAAAGTTAGATCTTAAGAAGAAGACAAAAAACAAACCCAGATGAGTATTAAGCACAATCTAATGCAGAAAGATTGAAAAGTTCTTTTATAAGTAACATATTTATAACATCTAAACAAGTAGCGTGCGAGCTCTAGAGAAAATTAAAGAAAAAGGGGTCCTAAATCGCCTTGAATTAGGAGTGTATGTTATGGAGAAAGGAAAAGTAGGCACTTTCAAAAGGAAAAAGTTCCGCCTCTGGCATAATGGGCAAAAGGGAGCAAAATCATGTAATTTCAGCATCATTTGCAAATCACTGGTATTGAATTAGAAATAAAACATGTTTGAATTTTATTTAGGGGTTCAATTAACTGCCCCCCCCCAAAATCCCCCCTCCCCATTTGCTAATGCAAGATAAAAGGCTCGCCGAAATAGCGTGAACAAGTTTCAATGATGATGTTAAGATATTTGAAGGATTAAACAAACTTAGCTCAAGAACACTTGAATGAATTAATTTCTTATGACTTGAATGGGAGCAGGAAAATCGTAGTAACAGACGAGTGGTAGTTACTGTAAAGTCCACTTTATCTAATGATATTATAGTATGATTTATTGTTTTATAATGTATTCTCTAAGGGTCTCCAAAGAATTCTTATAGAAATATTATATCTTTCCAGCAGCTGCCCCCAATCTCCCGCCCTCTTTCTATTTCTCTTTGTCTATGTCGCTCTCTCTATCGCTCCTCTCTCTTTCTCTTCTCTCAATAAACTTGCGCATCATCCATTGTTATGATGTAAATGTTGGTCATGTCATACTCGTTCTTTGTGCTGGTCCTTGGCGCTTGAGGGCAACAGCTTGGATTCACCCTCGAGCTACTGTCAAAATCCATGCATTTTATTTTTAATATTTTAAAGAATAAAATAATGATGTGGGAATCTCTTGGTAATTGATCATGTTTTTTGTGGTTTTTGTGAAGTGATACATGGAGATCTCTCCCTTTTGGTTTTGTACACATCTATCCCTCTTCTCATGTGATGGGGAAAAATATTTTGTTATCAGTGGAAATGTAATTATGTTACACATAGTACGACAGAAAAAGGCTTTTCACGGTATCTCATTGAAATGGAAAGAGATGAATATATTGAAATGACTATTTTTGTATATAAAAATTTATAATTTAGAATATAAGAGTTTTATTGTATGACATCAAGTTTTCACTCAGACGTTTCTTTATGGTTCTTTTGCTGTCACTCAGACCAAACTTTCACTCAGGGTCAAGTCCCTTTCAAGATTTATACAGATTAGAATAACTTTCAAACAGATATGTGAAGACAATATACGTGACCTAAGTTTAAGAATTTTATGATATTAATTGAGTGAGTTTAAACAGGTGTACAGACAAAAGTAATATATTCATGTATTGACCTTTTACATATTTCATTTTATGTCATTAACTTATTTCCACTTAAAGATAAAGACAATATTATACAATATTAAAAATACAAACATACCTGTATGTTATTAAATATTGGAAGTGGGAGGATCTTTGAAAGCACATAAATGGCTTGTTAAAAATGATCCTCACTAAATTTGTATTATATCCTACAAAATTCGTATGAAAATTTGAAGTGTTTTCAAGTCTTACAAAGTTAACGAAGTTGCTTTTTATAAAACAAACTCTAAGGTAAATCCAAAGCTCTTCTCTTCATATTATTCAAAATCACTGAGAAAGTAACTTGAATATTTATATTATCACCAGATATGAAACGGCTGCCCCAGAAAAAAGCATGTGTTACAAAGTTTTAAAGTTGAGTTTCACAAAGTCTCGTCCAAGTGACGAACTTGCTTTTTACGAAACAATGTCTAAGGTAAATCCAAACCTCTTCTTTTCATAATATACACAATCACTGAGAAAGTAAATTCAATATTCATATCATAACCAGAAATGAAACCAATGCTCTATACAAAATATATCAGAGGCATTCCAATAGTTGAAGAT